TCGGGCCTTTGCATGGATTCGATTTATGTATTAATTGTGCCTGTTCATGGACAGGGAGGCCCCCTTCATGGTCACTCAAGTCCTAGTTGCTTCCCGTTTGGACTACTGCAATGCGCTCCCCAGTGGGCTGCCCTTGAAGGCAAGCAGAAACGTCAAATGATCCAGAAAGCAGCAGCATCCACAGCTTTGGACAACCTGTGGTTCACTTGTGCTATACCAATGTTGCACTAGTTTCATGTGTCTTTCTGGGGTGCAATTCAAGTTGTTGCTTATTACCCTGCTCTCTCTGTGTGTGTGTCTGTCTGTGTGTGTGTGTGTGTGTGTATGTACCAAGATTGTGTACCTCAAACTGTGAAAACAGATCATCAGTTGCACTTGTGGATGTTTCATTGCCTTGTGCCTCAGCCAGGCGTAAGATTTCCTCGGTGTCCATTTCCTAGAAGCAATCAGACACACACCAATATGAAATATTTAATCTTGTCCTTCTAAAGTTCTGATACGGAAATGGACTGGACTGAGTTGACTCTCTCCCAATTTCAAATGACACCCCAAGGAGAATTAAGGTAGCTTTTTATCCCTGGTGCAGCCAAGAGGAGGTGCAGAAATCTTTCTTGGATCTGTTCCTAGTTCAATGGCTCACCTGACCTTTCAAACGGACCAGGAAGGAACAGGTATCAAGGACCAACATGCTGCAAACCGAAAGCTTCCGGCTTCTAATACCTTACGAGAAAAGTAGAAGTTATCCTATCAGGATTATTTACCTTTGGGGAAGTAGATATCTCGTTGTCAGCTGTGTCTACCAAGGCAGCTTCTTTAGATCAACTTCCAAATATCTTTTTTTTTTTTGGTTTTTTTTGGTTTTTGTTGTTTTTGTTGTTGTTGTTGTTGTTTTGTTTTTTTTAAACTTCCTAATATCTAACTACCCACCCCACCCCACCACCACCACCCAACCCCAAATTCCCTCTAACTATATTATTTAACTGCCTACTATTTAAAAAAAAACAATGAAACAAATAACTGGAATAACCAATACAGAAAGGCAGGATCTGAAAACCTGAAATCCTGAACTGGGCCAACTGATGGACAGCCACACATAAAGTATGCCTGCTCCAGAATTTGGCCAAATTCAAACTGCTCAGTTCCTACAATCCTTACTAATAACTGAAACTCAACTGGTAGGGGCTACTCAAGCGGACCAATAGGAAGCCCCCCTCCCCTAACTGCCTTCATCGCCGGGTTCCAAGTTCTAAATCCCATTGCTCAGTGAGGTTAGAGTCAACTGACATGGCAGACAGCCAATCTGGTCGATGCTTCAGATGTTGCCCTAGAAACCAGCAGACTGGATTTCTAGACCCATCTTAGGCATGACAGCCAGTTGGATGATTTGGGCCCAGTCACTCCTCCTCAGCCCAACCAACCTCACAGTGTTGTTGTGGGAAAAGAGGAGGAGTATTAAGTATGTTCACTGCCTGGAGCTAATTATAAAAGTGATAAAGGCAGGATGTCCACTCCTGTTCTGGTACTTAGAAAAATAAGCTAGGGAACTAAGCCAGTATTACTCCAGTCCATGCCACCTCTAGGTGCAAATCTTCTGGTTGACGTCATCCTGAAGTCTTTCATTTTGGAAAACAAATCAAGCCAATCCATAGGAGAGTTCAGACATCTTTTTCACGGGTGTCAGTTTTCAGACCGCAGTTGCACCTTCTTCCCCAATGACTTGTCCCTTCCTGCTTCTGCAGTGGACATGATGAGCAGTTTCGGTCAGTCGCCCTGCTGAGAAGGCTTCCTGTTGAGTTGGTGGCATTACTGTACCATTCGGGCCTTATATTATAAAACAGAATTCTTTATTGGCCAAGTGTGATTGAACACAGAAGGAATTTGTCTCCGGTGCATAAACTCGTATTACATACAAACAACAAGTGATGGCTCATAAGTCATAAATCAATTATCGTCAGGAAGCTCACTCCAAATTGACCAGCAATTTATGCAAAAAAAATTGGGCTGTGCATTTTCCAGAAGATGGATAGGCCTCATAAACAATGCCGTTGTTTTATTTGAGGAATGAAGGCAGAGATGGAAGGACTGCCTCAGTATTCTGGAAATACCGTTTTACAAGATGCACCTTCTTTAGGTCCATGTTTTTCTATGTACAACACCTGAGCTAAGGAACCTTTGAAACATCATGTTGGGTTTAGGTCCAGGTGCCAGATGAGAAGCCTCCCATCCTAAAACTTATCTTGATCCCTTTCTATTTTGAATACACCATGGCAGGTGTATCCCCTTCCTTGGGAAAGGGACAGATTGTGTGGGTGTGTTTGCTGTGTATATTGACAACATGCAAGTTTTAGAGAAACCTTTGAGAGTGAGCTCAGTCTGTTCCTAAGTTGTGAGCCCTATCTGACCATCACAACACCAGAAGGACATCCAGATATACACAAAGCCATGTTTTTGTATGCTTCAAGCATGAACATCTGTCTTATCATCTGCCAGCTCATATTTTATCTTTTTTGAGTGTTGAACACATACTAAGTCGTACACATGGTCATTTTGCCATTTTGCCATTTTTATTTATTGATTAGCTACCTATTGTCTTTTCCTCTTACTCCTTGGTTGGCTCCAAAGACCACCAAGCTAGAACTTCTCAGAGAAATCAATCACTTGTTTGTACCAAAAACAATCCAAGTTCATTGGCTCAATTTTCATTGTCTATCTCTGCCCTTTTCATTCCGGTTTCACCGTGGGTAGTACCCACTCAGCAAACAGATACAATGGTGTAGCCACTGGGTGCAGATATTTGCTTCTTTCTTCTCACATGTTCAGATCAAGGAAGTTGAGATGGATGTCTCTCTCTGCCCATATTTAGCTCAAAAATACCATCAGCAAACAGCTCTGAGATTTTGCTAAAGTGGTAGGTCAGAATGTCTACCAAGTCATGTCTACCAAGCATGAACATCTGTCTGATCATCTGCCAGCTCATATTTTATCTTTTTTGAGTGTGTAATAAGTTGAACACATACTAAATCTTACAGATGGTCATTTTGCCAAGTGAGCAAAGAGATGGGATTGCCCTGCTTGCTTCCTAAAATATTTAAATAATTGTTTTTTATTATTTCTCTTCATGATTGGTTCATCAGTGGGCATAATTGTCTTCTCCATCGTTTTGTGTCATTTTGAGAAAACCGAATTGGGGTCACTTAGAGGGGGTTGTAGGGCAGACAGGGTGCTCTCTTCCCACATTTTCAGATGCCTAGGAAGTCAAGATGGAGGTCTCTCTCTGCCCACATTTAGCTCAAAAGTACCATGAACAAACCGTGCTGAAATTTTGCTAAAATGGTAGGTCAGAATGCCTACCAAGTCATGTTCATGGTTCATCCCACAGTACAGGTAGTCCTCGACCTACAACCACAATGGAGCCCAACATTTCTATTGCTAAGGGAGGCATTTGTTTGCCCCATTCTATGACCTTTCTTGACACAGTTGTTAAGTGAATCATTCCAGTTGATAAGTTAGTAACCTGGTTGTTAAGTGAACCTGGCTTCCCCATCGACTTTGCTAGTCAAAAGGTCGCAAAAGATGATCACATGACCGCAACAGTCCTAAGTATGAATCGGTTGCCAAGCATCTGAACTTTGATCCCATGATCATGGGGATGCTTCAAAGGTTGTGTGAAAAACTATCGTAAATCACTTTTTTTCAGTGCCATTGTATTGAAAAAAGACCTTCCCCCCCCCCCAAATTTCCATCCATTATCTCCTGTAGCTTCTTCCAAGCTGTGACAGAAGAAACGCATTTTTTTAAAATATGTTTTTGCCCAAGTAGCGATTACAGAACTGGATAAACCATACATGGAAATCTTTGGCTGAATTTATATACAGTTCAGCAATGGAAATCTGAGTTATCACCATGTTTGCAATGAAGATGAGAACTCGCCCCTCACATGAAATTTTCCTCAAAAATGGTTTACCTCACAACCCATGCTAACTACAACTCCTATAACCCCCCAACCAATGATGTCACGACAAGAGGAGGGGGACTTTAATCCAAATTATCTGGTCACTATCAAAATGGCATTTTATTTTAGCATTTTATAAATCAAAATTCTTGAAAACAGTAAAATGTAACAAATTGGGAGGTTTTTCTTAATCAACTTTCATCTTTTATTCTCTTCAATTTATTTCTTTGATTATGGTGAGCTCTAAAACCATTTTCCATATATTGTTTCTTAAACCTCTAATTATTAACAAAGCACTTTATTTTCTATTATCTTCAAATTTTGGCTTCTGAGTGAATTCAGCCTATGAAGACCCAAGAGGCTCTGAATGAAAATCTGAATAAAGACAGGGAAAGCGTATAACAAACACACTGCCTCCCTTTCCAGCTTATTGCATGTGTGTGGAAATTGTATGGGGTGTTGTGATGTAAATATTGTAAATTATTTATTGATTTAAAAAAAAAGGAAATAATTTTTTTCTTCCCAATAACGCAGTCCTGAATTTCTGTTGATGCAATCTTTAGGATGAAAAAAATGGCATGAACTGGATCACATACGCTGTGCTTGTTGAATTGGCTAGTTCACTGTAAAAGTCAGCTCATCTTGCTGCCAAAATAATTATCAACTTCAGAAAAACAAAGATCAATATTTTTTTAAAAAAATGTGTCATCAGCTTTCAGCTAGAACAGATTTGTGATGGGAAAGAATTAGGTCAAATATAATGTTTGGCCTAATTTCAAACTCCTGCATTGAGATCTTTTTCAAAGTACTGGGATACTTTTCAGACAAGGGATCAAAAAGAAAAAATAAATGCAGAAAATGTCAAGCAATATGAAAAAAGGAGGTGAAAAAGAAGAACAAATGACTGAGGAAGATTTTGTCTTCATTATCTAGAATCAGGCTTTTAAGCTGAAGTAATAAAAGTCTTCTATATTTTCAAAACAAGAAAACCGTCAAGTTAAATAACCTCAGGGACAACTATTGGGGGGGGGGGAGATGAAAATTCCAATTTCTGAAAAACTCAACTTTTAATGTACAACAATCCAAAGTACAGGAGCTTAACCATAGAAAAAATTTAATACATACTTTATAAACAACATATGTACATCAGAAATCACTTCGACAGTGGCAAATTCCTTTGTCACAAATATAAATTAATATTAATTACTGTATTTAGTCACAGGGATTTCATTTTCCCTTTAAGTCCATGACTTTATGCACCAAAGTTCTTCTACCCCAGATTTTGGGGGGGAAAGCGAAACAGCATCGAGTTGGGTTATCGCAGCTGGATGACTGGTAGAAACCAAACAGCAGCCAGAATCATCTCCTTCAATCTTCCAATAAACCTTCATAAATTCATCAAATTAGGGACACACCCAGAATTCACCCTCCCACCAGCATTTTGTAATTCTCAACCTGGGCAAGAAGAGAACATAGAAACATTCTGTATTTATTATTCCATCTAATACTCACAATTCCATTGCAAAAATATCCCCTCCTAAAATTATGGGACCCAAATACATTTCAACCTTACAGGAAAAAGGCAGAATTTAGGAGTGAAACAGTAGCTATTCTAATTCAGTAACAATCAGAAACATATCAGAACTTAGGGGCAAAATAGCAACTATTCTAATTAAGTAACAATTACGAAGATATCAGAACTTAGGGGAGAAAAAGTAACTATTCTAATTAAGTAACAATTAAGGAACATATCAGAAGAGTGAAAGTATCCCACCTGAAAACTATCTGTCCAAATATATTTTACCCTTATGGGAACATGTCAGAAGTTTTGAATAAAAAAGTAACTATTCTAATGAATTATATTGTAATTAAGTAACAATTAAGGAAACTATCAGAAATTAAGTTTGAAAGTAGCCCCTTGAAAACTATCACCCCAAAAATATTTTGCCCTTATAGGAAAATGTAGGAGTGAAATAGTAACTATTCTAACTAATTCTATTCTAATTAAATAACAATTAAGGATCCTAATCAATGCTAAGGAGTGAAAGAATTGTTCTAATTAACTAACAAGATAGAATTCTTGGCTTCCCTTTGCTGTTGGGTATCTTTGGAATTCACATTTAGTCAACCACTCTGGGTGGAAATAAAAGGACCTTAAACAAAACTCTGTAGTGTCTTTTCTGCCATCACAGTTAACAGGTGAGATGTAATGGAAAAAGAGTGTATGGCACACTCATGGACACAGGTAGACAAACGTAGAGAAACGCCCCTCTAGAAAGTTAGAAGATGAACCCTTGGTCTGATACTTTCCCTTCTTATTTCACCGATAAAGTTTTAACACTTAACGAACTGACTTGACAGTTGAATATCAAAAATTATGGCTCAGGATTGTTGCCGGGGGCACAAAACGGGGATGCTACTTTTCAGCATGTATTTGGCCATTTCATTTTTAAAAGCAGGAATTTAACGCAAAGCAATAGATTTGGGGCAAAGTGCTCACATCTGCACACACACATACATTTTGGGGGAGGGGGGAAATATCTGTCGGAGTTGCTTTGTTTTGTTTTTTTGAGAAGCTGCTGCTGAGAAAGATCATCAAACTTTGATTATCACTCAGATCTTTGCCCCCCGTGTATAACAATTCCATGTGGGACAAAACTCCATGTTTCTCTTCCCTCAATGAGAGGCTTCCTTCATCTTGCTTAGTTCACTGGTGTCTCCTTTCTAGGGATGACAGCCATTGGGGGTTTCGAACCTTTGTAACCAGAAGTGCTAAGTTGACCATCTTGAGATGTTCATGGAATCCTGTCTGAGGGGGATCCTCCTCTCAGCTCCTTCCTCCAAGCCGAATCCCTGGTGTTCCCATGGATCATGAGGAGGAGGAGGAGAGGAAAAAAACAGGAGCTCCAGAGTCAATGTATGAATACTGAAGTCCCCCAAGGATCTACTGTCCTTCTTGCTCCTTCACAACCATGGAAACGAAAGTTCTGCCACCACCATTTAAGAACTGTTCTTTGTCCACAGCTCTCCTTGATTCAGGTAGTGCTGCTGGAAGTCCCAAAGTTGCTGAGGCAAAGAAAAGCATGGAGAAGAGAAAAGGAGGGACAGACATCATAAACCATTCCTTCTTCTTTCCTTTCGTTTTCTGGCATTCCGGCCATCTTCAGTCCATAGACTTCCAAGTCTCTGCAGTCGTCACTAAGAGTTCCAAGCATTCCCATCCAAAGTTGGTCTCGCCAGTCTGTCATTCAGTCTCCCTCCTGCCCTCCCCAACGCCAATTTTTTATTCAACAGCTGTAGCTGTTGTGGTCTTCTCTATCATCCCCTTCCAGCAGCAAATTGAACCTCAACTCCAAAGTCGTGTAGCTTTCGCCTCCATCTGTATCCTACGCAGCCTGCCTGTCCATTCCGTAAAACGTCCAGAACTCAAGTTGGCATTATGGACACAAACGCAAAATCTTCATTCCAAAACGTAGGGGGTAGACCTGACCTTGGTCTCTCCAGGTCCCTTGGTGCAGGGAAGACCACTCCCAACGTCCAGCCAGTATACTGATGGGAGGCAAATTTGGGGCCAAAATTCAGGCCCCTTGGTGGATCCAGTTCTTCTGACCCACTTCAAATTCTTACAGCCCAGAGCTCTACAGCGCTGTATTCAGGCTTTCTGGTTCCAGCATTGATAGCCCTGTAACTGGTGTTTCCTCGGGCCGGACTAGCTCTTTCCGTTTGCCTCTGCTTCTGGGCCTCTAGGTTTTCCGGCCACTCCAGTTATAATCTGGATTGTTTTTCTGCTCTAGGGGCCTATCAAGAGGTGAGCGATGCTGGATGGGAGACTTGACACCAAGCGGAGATTTCTGAGAAGGTGGAGAGCGAGGGTCAGGGAGCTGGGAGTGAGGAGGGGGAAGGACTTGCTTGTAATCAGCCGACTTGTCTGGGTGGAAAGGCCTGTAATGGTCAGATGGTCCTTGCCCATGATAATTCAAGGGAGGTCTATAGTCAGACATCCTCCGATAATCTTGTTGATAGTTCTGGGGCCGGAATCCATCTAATCTTCGTCTCTTGGCTTCATGACAGTACCTGGAGGGGAAAGAAAAAGAATTCAAAACATTCAACTCAACAGAAGAGGCAAAAATGACCCTATCTAGATCTTGGGATGCTTAACTCCCTTTGGCGTCAAAGGCATGGAAGAGAACAGGAAGGCCAGCCCAGTTCAGCAGTATCTAGACATACAATATTTCAAAATTAATATGTAGATTTAAAGATTAGAAGTTGAAAGTTGATTTTACTACGTATACTTAAATAATATTACTATTGTTACTAGTGCTGTGTATTAAAATATTGAACAATTAAATGATGAAGGATTGTATACATGGTGCAGCAAACACTAACATGTTAATAACTTCTATTTTAATATTTATGATCTGGCTGACAAACGCCATTCACTGCTTTTGGCATGCTGACTCCTGCAGAAGTCCTAGAGCCTAGCTGAATGGCCTGCTTAGCACCTCACCTGTAGTCCGGGCGTCCGCGGTAATTGCGCTCACTGTTGTACTCATCATAGGTGCGTTTACGAGAGACGTTGCTGGGCTGGTAGTTTCCTGAGCTCCGATACTGTTCTCTGCGCGCCTGGCGATCCACATAATGGTGATCCTTGTGCCAGCGCTGCTCGTATGGGTGGTATCGGTTTCTGCCCCAATTTGTATTGGCATTGCCACTGTAATTAAATTTGCGATCCCTCTGCCATTCGCTTCGTTCTGCATAACAAGGAAGGGGAAGAAACTAGCACTCTTTCCCAAGAAGCCCAAGGATCTTATCCACGTGGACTTTGTTATCTGTACTTCTCCCTTTGTCTACGATTCATTCGATTTTTATCATCTCTTTTTTAAGAAAATAAGAAAAAGGAGGAGGAGGAACAATAACACAATAATCAAAGTATCCATAGCAGGAACTGCCCATCCAGAGTTGAACTGGGAGGCCCTTGAACCATGTAGCCCATGTGGCTCCACTAAGGGGACCAAGGATGGTCAGGCATTGCCCTCTTCCCCCATCTCAGGAAGTTAGATGGGACATCAGGAAGAAGGGAAGAGCTTCTCTGGTCTTCAAGAAGATCTCTTGTCACATCTGCCATCACACCGCTTCAGCCCTGCTTCGCTTTGATGGCAGCCTGCCATAAAATATGGGGAGGGGGGATGGAGGGATATAGGAAGGGGGATGAGAGGAAGCAGAAGTGCCAACCAGAGACAACGGTTGAATGATCCAAGGTCACAGGCATGGGAAAGGAATGCGAATGTCCACCAAAGAGGCACCAAACTTTGGGAATTGTTACCAAAACAACTAATTTGACTCACATTGGACACTAAAAAGGATGACCAGGGAGAAGAAAGGGAAAATTACTGGGTGTGTGAAGGAATCCCAGATCTAGCTTTGCTTATGCTGTAACCACTTGGCTTTAGTAAAAGCAGACCTTTTACTAAATGCAACTCAACTGCAAATGGAGACAAGAGTCTTTCTTTCCTAAATGCCCAAGTTGGGTCAGGCCTGAAAATCTCTCACCTGTGTGGCTGAAATGCCTTCTATTCGGCTGGTTGTAATTCTCTCGCGGATGTCCATGCATCTGGGAAGGGTGGGGAGATGGCTGCTGCAGCTTTTGACCATGAGGGCTATGGGGGACAGGAGACATCGGAATATCTCGACTGGGCCCAGGAGTTTCTGGACGAAGCCGCTTGCCACTCGTTGTCTCTTCCTTCTTCTTATGTTCATGCTGAACAGAAAAACAACATGGTCAGAAAACTCAAAAGGCCAACAGTAACAATGACTTGGGTCTCATAAACCAGGGGCTGGGGAGGAGGGAGGTTGCTGAAGAATATTGGAGAGCCTCTTCTAGAGAAAAGAATTAAACAAACAAACAGAAAGAAAAGTGAAAGTTTTAAGGCTTTCCACCCCTCCAACTCTTCATTTGTGACCAAATATGTCTTCATCATCAAGGTTTGCTAAGCTAGCCCCTTTTGGCTCCCCAGGGACCCTAGTTCCTGAGGTTTTCTCTTGCACAAGATGTCCCCTGTCCTTCCTTCTCTTTATTTATATTTGTATCCCTTCCATTCTACTGCACAACAGAAGCATACCCACACCCCTCTGTTCTTACCTCCTGTTCCCGGGATCTCTTTTTGTTAGCCATCTTGTATATCTTATGTAATTTCTTGGCGTTAAATTCGGTAAACTTGGAGACAAACACCCATAGATTCCTGAAAGAAGGTGAACAGTTATTTTAATTTTCTCTTTTTAGGAACTGGGACAAAAGCCCAGGAAAGAGGAAAGAGATGCCCCAAACAAGCAGTGATGGAGAGATGTTTTCTTCTGGGCTCCCAAAATCCCCTCTGACACCACCTCTGCTTCTAAAAATGACTTGCTTCAAAGTTGAGTCATGAAGACTCCCAAGATAAAGTCTGCAGATTTTGCTCTAAGCATGGCAGGACCCAGTCTGCTACTTCTCTTTACTACTGCGAATGCCTCTATGGTGGTTTTCTAGGAGTTTGGACAAAAATGTGGATTTTCTTTTTAACACTCTAACATATTTCCACATAGGGGAATTCAACACAATTCAACAATTGGAGACTGCATCTCCTTTGTAGCATTTCAGCAGAAATTGGACTTAGTTTGCTTGTGGCTATGTAGAGATTCTAGGCTTTTTCCTCTTTTAACTCCATCCCCAGGTTCTGCCTCTTCTTCCCCTACATCTCCAAACTCAAAAAGAATCCTGACCCACAAGTCTGACTGCAACATCAGGACAAGAGAGGGAGGGAGGGAGAGAGAGAAAGATTGAAGATTTGGTGGGCAGGCAAATCACCTTCTCCATACATTAAGAACTTCCTGTTCATTGTGGATTTTCAAACATTCAGCAATGTGGTCTCCTATCTTAAGCAGGCAACTCCGAGTTTGCTCCAGCTGCTCTTGGTCTGTAAGTCCTCTTTCCGGCTTATCTAGCTGCTTCAAGGACTTTTTTACTGGCCTCATCAGCTCTTTGCACTTGGGAGACAGAAAAAGCAAAGCTCCGCATTAGTGGCACATCAGAAGGAAGGCGGAGGAAAGGAAGACCCCGATTGAGGCAACCTTTTGAGGCTAGGGGCCCATTTGAATTTGGGGGAGGGGATCTGCTGTGGGCACCCTTCCAAAATGACAACCACAGAAATCTTCAAAGAAACATCTGGAGCCACATGGTATCAAGACCCAGTTTGCTGGGCAAGATCAAGGAAGTGAAAACTATCCCAAATTTCAGGATGGAATTTAAAACTCGTCTGGGGAAGTCATAAAATCTTGGAGACCGTGCAAGAGATTTCCCATCTTTTTTTAGGTGAATTCATTAAAGTGAAGGAATGATATTTTTGTTTCGATCCAGAATATGACGGTATTAGTGTCCTTTGCGACCTTCTGTCAAAGGGGAAGACAGATTCACTTAATTTAACAACCGCAGTGATTCACTTAACAGCTGTAGCAAGAAAGGTCGTAAAACTGGGGCAAAACTCAAGTTAGCTAATTTCCCATTTTACAAACATAAATTCTGGGCTCGATTGTGGTTGTAAGTCTATCTGTTTATTTGTTTCTGACCTGAAGAAAGTCTGAAGTCTTTTTTTGTATCCTTCCCTCCCCCACAATTCTTCTCATTTTTCCACTCCCCCCCCCCGCCCCCTTTGACTCCCATTCCCTATTTTTAAATCTTTTGGGGTTGGTTAAGTTTGTATTTTATCTTTCATTGAAACTTAATTAAAGAAGAGGTAAGCTGATTTCGTAACTAAATAGCTGCTGCCCCACTGAGTCAAAGAGAAATTTTCTGGAGTCAGTGACCCTTTGACTCTTTGACTTTTCCCCATTGTGTTCCTAGAGAAGACTCACAATGGTGAAGGTTGCATGGTCTAAATCATCCTCTTCCTCTTCTTCGATGGGGACAGGCTCACTTCCTGCCGTAATATGGACAGGACCCTGACCCAAAGGTTTCTTCCCTTTGTTTCCGGGTTTCGCCTCGGCGCCTTTGGGCTGTGAAAAGAGTAGAGGAGATAGCATCCCTCATGAAACAGCACAGGATGGAAAGTCACAGATGTGCCAATAGGCAAATGGAAGACACCCAACCACCCCAAAAAAACCCAAGGGTGGTGAGAAACTTGCATTCTGCTGCCTGGAATTTCCAGGTGATTCCTTTGCCCCTTCAAACAGGGCTCTCCATCTTTATGATAAAAAGTACAGGTAAAGATTTACTCTGTCTAGTCAGGGCTGACTCTAGGAGACGGTGCTCATCCCCCTTTTTGGCCAAGAGAGGCAGCACTGTCTGAAAACAATTCCCGTGGTCATGTGGCCAGCATGGAAGCATACGCCAAAGGCACATGGAAGGCTGTTACCTTCCCACCAAAGTGGTACTTCTTCATCTACTCACATCTGCATGCTTTCGAACTGCTAGGTGGGCAGAGGAGCTGAGCCAAGTAACGGGAGCTCACCCATTATGGGGAACTCAAGTCTCGAACCCAGGCAGTCAGCCATCCAGCTGACAAACCCAGCGTCTTTAACCGCTGAGCCATCGTGGCCCATTTTTGTGATAATGGACTCTCTAAACGAATGGCATGCACACCCCCCTCATGAATAAAACCAAGAAATATGCATTTTACTTTCTAAAAGAGATGTAATCTTCAGCATACTTCGATTGTGACTGATTTAGGACACGTACCTATAAATGAATTGTTTTTAGCTTTTTGTCTTTCTATTCTGAATGGCCAGATATGTAAAATAATGGACAGAAATACTATCATGTACCCTTTTCCATTCCTCTTTAGCAGAAAAGCATCCACCGTTCACAGGCCTGGTGGACAGTTTTGAAAGACAGTTAGCCAACTCTCAAAACTCACTCCAACCTTTTCTTCCTACTTTGGGTGGGAAAAGCTTTTGGATTTTTTTAAAAAACGTGTCAACCCAACAACTTTTTTCAGCCCTGGGATCACTTATGCAATGATCACTGAAGAACGAGAAATCTTCCTGAAAACAAATCTGAAGCTCAGCTGTGTGGAAATTTTATCTTCCTATGCAGTCTGCTGATTTCTCAGAGGTGGGCAAGACCAAAATAACATTATTCGAAGTCAGGAAATATAGAGTATTTGAGACACTGTTCGGGAAAGCCTAGGAAGCCAGATAAAGCATCATTCAATACATGCTCAATGATAGCCAATTGAAAATTGTGGGCAAGCCAGGTAGTTACAAAGTCTCACAATTGGCTATGATTTGGTTTGTCTTCTTCTGAGATGTTTCTTAGATTTCTCAGCCAAAACCACAATCTGGGGAGTTCCTGATACTCTTCCACCCAGTTATCCCTACTCAATCCTGCTTAGCTTCTCAGTTCTAACAAGGACAGTCAAAGGATTCACCCTGGCCCAAAGGCCTAAAGAATGACGATAAAAAGGAAGTTCTACCCATAATATGAAGTTGATTTTAACCAAGGTTAAATTATTCACATAACCACACAGCCAAGTTACCAACACACATAAGTGAACCTTGGTTAAAATCAGCAATGGCATGGCCACCAAGACAGGTTAACACCAGTAGCTACCTGTTCCATTTCATCCTGTTTTTCTTCCTGTTCCTGGTTTTTGGCTGGCTGCTGAGCTTTGACTTCTGGGCTTTTGTCTGACTGCTTAACCTTCTTTTCGTGGCTTTGGCCTGGCTGCTTTATCTTTGTTTTTTTGGCCTTTGATTGGCTGCTTAACCTAGTATTCTTTCTACTCCTCCATTTTCAGGGCATTCTTACATACCCCATCCTCCTTGGGGGTGGGGGCAAAAATGTGGATACTAAGGATCCCAGCAAGGATCCCAGCAGGTCTCAACGAAATGGCTCCATCAGTCTGGGATTTTTCTGAACTGTAGCCCCTGGCTAAGGTGGCACTCCCAAAATGGTAGAGACCTTAAATTTTTGTCCACCATTCTCTCCACCAGGAAGTCCTGGTTCCTCAGTATTCATGCTTACCTTCTTCTGTCCTTCTACTGACTGGTTCTCTGGAGGCTGCGGAGAAGAGGCTTCATTTCCTGGCTCCTCCTTGATTTTGGGGGGTTTGTTTTCTTTCCGGATTCGGGGCTTCACACTTTTGGCCTTGTCCTAGGTCAGAAGAACAGCCCATGAGGGAACAGAGGATCAGAAAACCCTCCTTGCTGGTCAATTTGGTGGACCCTATCTTTATTTGTGCAAACCCTTTCCTGTATAGAGTCACCCAGCTCCCTGCAGTATTTCTGGGGCTCTGGAGAGTGACTCTCCTTATACCTCAATGGGGTAGTTTTCTCATGGACAGAGATGATGCACCACTTGCCCTCCTGCACCGGCAGCTTCTTCCCAGGGAGCAGAAGTAGGTGTGACAATTGGGGCCTTTGCACGGATTCGATTTATGTATTAATTGTGCCTGTTCATGGACAGGGAGGCCCCCTTCATGGTCACTCAAGTCCTAGCTGCTTTCTAGTTGGACTACTGCAATGCACTCCACAGTGGGCTGCCCTTGAAGGCAAGCAGAAACTTCAAATGATCCAGAAAAAAGCAGCATCCACAGCTTTGGGCACACCATGGTTCACTCATGCTATACCACCCTGCTTGGCGCGTGTGTGTGTGAATGTGTGTGTGTATACCAAGATTGGGGAAGGCTGATTAAGAGCCCTTTCCAGTTTCTTTATTTTGCCCCACCCTTCCTATGTCCATATTTTCCACCACAAAGACTGGAAACTTGAGTTTGGCATGTGCTAACTTCTCAAACAACACATAGCAGAAACAATGTCCACTCGATCAAACGGAGCTTGCTCGATGGCGGAACTGACCTCCTCTGTCTTGTTGAGGTTCTCCTTCCTCTTCGTGTCTCTTTGGATAAGTTTCATCAGATAATCTACTCGCGCCTGAAGCTGCTTCCCCTGTGGCTTTTTATCTGTCTCAACTGGTAAAATCTGGGGATGGGTGGAGAAGGAATAAACATAAAAGAGAGGGACTTGTTTAGAATCATCCAGCTGGCTTTGTGCCCAAGGCAGGACTAGAATTCACAGTCTCCCGAATTCTCCTGGTGCCTTAACCAGGGGAGCAAACCGGTTCTGTGTTTTATGCATAAAATCAACGCAAAAAAACATTGCTTGTCAAGCTGTAGAACCAGTAATCTCCGCATCCGATGCCACCGCTTTCTGCAGAAGTTCTTTTTTCAAGTGTTATTAATTTGGGGTTGCATCTGTAAAACATTGACCCCCGTGTGAAGCTCCTTGTACCTTGTCGGTGAGGTTCAGTTCTGGGTCTGACTTGATGAGCTCCCAGTTCCCACATCCGTGCTCGTAAATCCCCCGCAGCAAGCAAGAGTCCTCTTCCACTCCCCAGTCTACATCGAAATGGGCAGATTTGACACGGCAGTTCAGACGGAACCTGCAAAATTGGAGCAGAGGACAGGCGAAAGATGACAAGCGATCCCACAAGAAGTGTCCCTTCATCAATAAAGTTCTACAACACAACCAGATAAGACAAAAGAAAGGCAAAGTTAGAGGTGTGTGTGAAAGTGCGGATATGCACCCACAGGTGAAATTGTCTCTCTTAAACCTCTTCTCACTAGCTAACGTAAGTTTTACCTAAACTGACCGAAGGACCATTCCTTAATTGCTCTAAGAAAGGACCAAATTCATATGAGAATCAGCTATTAAGACCTAGCTGAAAAAAAAGGCAACACAGAGTTGGCCTTGAAGGGAGTCTTTCCTCTCCCCTAAGTTATCTTCTCCCTGGAGAAGATGAGGAACCAACATGGCCGGAAGTATCTAATAGAATAACGAAGTTGGAAGGGACCTTGGAGGTCGTCTAGTCCAATTCCCTGCTGAAGCAGCAGACCCTATACCATTCTGAACAAATGACTGTCTTTGTTGTTGTTCATTGCGAAGTCGTGTCCAACCCATCAAGACCCCATGGACAACGTTCCTCCAGGCCTTCCTGTCCTCTACCATCCTCTGGAGTCCATTTAAGCTCACGCCGACTGCTTCAAACTCCATCCATCCACCTCGTTCTCTGCCGTCCCCTTCTTCTTTTGCCCTCAATCCTTCCCAGCATTAGGCTCTTCTCCAGGGAGTCCTTCCTTCTCATTAGGTGGCCAAAGGATTTGAGTTTCCTCTTCAGGTTCTGGCCTTCTAAAAAGCAGTCAGGGTTGATCTCCTCTAGGACTGACCGATTGGATAGCCTTGCAGTCCAAGGGACTTGCAGGAGTCTTCTCCAGCAACATAGTTCAAAGGCGTGGGGGCTGTGCACGCATTGCATTTTGGAGGTTTGGGCACTTGCGCGCACATTCATGCATGTGCGCGTTGGGCACTCAGTCCGGAAAAGGTTAGCCATCACTGGCCTAAGGGTTTATTTTATTTAAGAGCAACATGTAAGTCCACCCACCCCCAAAAAACCTGTGTTTTCTTCTTCTTTTGGCACTTGCGCCTGTCTTAGATGGTTATGCTTACCTTGTCCTTTCCACTGGGTCACTGGGAATGGTCTGATGGAGCATTGCAAACTCCTCTTCGTGCTGAATAATCGCTTTCACGTTCACCTGGACTCCCGAGATCTTAATGGTGGGTCCCTTTCTCTTCCCTGGTCCTTTACCTGAATAAAAGGAGCCACACAGTCACCATCAGATGGGGTGGGTTGGGAATCGCATTTAAAGTGCATTCAGCACCTGAAACTTTAACATGTTCCCGTTTTACCAGCCTGTTATTGTAGGAGAAGAGCAGGCAGAAGTAGGGGGAGGATTGGAGTTAAACGTGTTATCAGTTTAGAATCCTTGCATGGCCACAAATGAGCCTCTCTTGAATTCTATTAACCCTTATCAGGTGACAATTTAGTAATCAACTTTATTTGACTAGATTCTTGCATATCGGCTTGAATAAATCTTCTGTGCTGCAACTTAAACTATAGTCCTGATCCTTTGCACCTGACAGTGATTTTGGAAAAGGAGGACAAGTTTTTGCATCATTTTCACTGTCTCTACATGTCCAGTTGCCTCTTGAAAAAGCACCTTTGGACAACCATGACCTGGATGACTGAGAATCTCCATAGACATTTTCCTAGGTTAGCTTGATGGAAAGTGAAAAAAATGGAAACTGAGAAATCATTGGGGAAGATCGATTAAGCAAATACTGAACCAATTGTGTAAACAACATAGTTGCAGAGTTCAGGTCTCCTTAAGCACGAATTCCTCATATGGTGCCAACTTTCTTTATCTAGCGTCACAGGCTCCTAACCCTGGATTCTGAGCCAGGTCCTTGGGTTGACCACCAACCTTTTCCCATCACAGAAAGCCCCTTTCCTCACTTTCAGTTGGGTTCTCCTTCAGGTGCTCCTCATACTCCTGCATGGCTGAAGCACAACTGTTATGGAGAAGTTCTGCCAAACGTTTCAGATCAGCTACCGATTTCTCTACCAGTTCGGCATCCCGAGCAAGGCATTCCAGTCTGAAAAAAGGAGATGGAATGTAATAAAAGGTGCTCTATAGCAAACGTTTGACTCTCCCTCCCTCAACACACCCACCAATCGGACATTATTTTAAAGCACTTCCAGAATATGGACGGACTTAGAATAAGCTACCAGAAAAACGATTAAAAAAAAAAAATCACAGTGTGAAAGCAAATTACAATTATAATTTGGTGGACTGCACGTTCTCTGTAATCTGTCACTCACCGTTCCAAAGGAACACCAAACTTCTTGTATGCCTTGATAAATCTGTGGAATTTAAACAGGAAGAGCAACAAATGTTAAGAGAGGTTTGCTAAAGGCCTCCATTTCCCCACCTCCCGCTTGTGGTTCTGGTCCCATCCAGGGGTGAAATGCTCCCGGTTCGGACTGGATCGCCCGATCCGGTAGCGATGGAAGCAGGTGGTCCGGAGAACTAGTAGCAAAAATCTCTGCACCCCCCTCTTCTCATGTCCAGCTGAGCCACATGATCATCAGAGGCTTTTTTTTTTTTCCAAAGCATTTTTTCTATAACCTCTTCCAAAGAAAAAATGCTTTTAAAAGTAAAAAAAAAAAGCCTCTGATGATCGCGCGGCTCAGCTGGGATCCTCAGAGGCTTTTCAAAGCATTTTTTTCTGCAACCTCTTGGCCGAAGAGGTGGTAAAAAAAATGCTTTGAAAAGTCTCTGACAATCCCAGCTGAGTTGCTTGATCGGCAGAGGCTTTTCAAAGCATTAGAAAAAATGCTTTGAAAAGTTTAAAAAAAAAAAGTTGGCCACGCCCACCCAGTCACATTACACGCCCCCCACCAAGCCACGCCCACAGAACCGGCAGTAACAAATTTTACATTTCACCCCTGGTCCCATCCCTCCTAAATTTAACCCCCTCCAGATATGCCCCGAGTACAACTCTCAAGTTGCCCAATATTTACAAACCAAGGAAGGCTGCAGAAGTTTTCTTACAATATTTTCTTCCTTTGCTCTGGACGCTCAAGATGGCTGGAGTAATCTCCCCTCCTTTCATCCCACCATATTTATACCTCTCTGGGAGGTAGGCTGGGCATCCCTCCCACCTTTTCCAGTTCATCTTAGCTCTGGCAAATGATGAAAAACCAATCCAGAAGAATCCCTGGCTTTCTCCCCAGGTGCCAACCTTCTGATTTCAGTGTCTGTAAATCCTTCCACTGTGTCCTTCCGAACACTGCGAGGCCGTCCTCTGCGTTTCGGCCTTTTGTCGTCATCAGAATCCTCTGTCTCGGTGTCCGACCCAGAAGACCTCTGGAGCTTTCTCTTTATTTCAACATCCGACTCACTGTCGTTGGCCTGAGCCTGTCGGGGCCAGAGAAAGGAGAGGCTTATCTATCATTTTTTATTCCTATTTCTTTTCTAACCACTCATAAAATCTTCCCCACGTCCTGAGATACATCAATTCCGCTCTATCTTTTATTCTTAAGGTTAATCTATTCATTTCTGCACATTCTAAAATCTTTTTTATTACTTCACCTTCTGACGGGATATTTTCTGTCTTCCAATTTTGTGCAAATACAATTCTTGCTGCTGTTATTACATGTATTATTAAATACACATCTTCTTTACTATATCTCTCTGGAAAATACCCAATAGGAAAAACTCTGGTTTTAATTCTATAGATTTATGTAGCATTTCCTCCAACCATTTTTAAATAAAATTGAAAAAACTTAAGAAAGAAAGAAAGAAAGAAAGAAAGAAAGAAAGAAAGAAAGAAAGAAAGAAAGAAAGAAAGAAAGAAAGAAAGAAAGAAAGAAAGAAAGAAAGACCAGGCACAGAGAGATCCTCTTTGCCAGAGGCTGTAAATGCCAAGTGGTCCTCGACTTACAGCAGTCCATTTAGTGACCATTCAAAGCTACAAGGCCGCTGAAAAGGGACTTAGGGCCCTTTTTCACCCTTATCACCGTTGCAGCATCCTCTTGGCCATGTGACCTACATTCAGATGCTTGGCAACTGACATGTACTTAGGACAGTTGCAGTGTCCCGGGGTCATGGAGTTCCCCTTTTGTGACCCTTCTGACGAGCAGAGGCAATGGGGAAGCAAGAGTCACTTAACAACCGTGTGACTAACTTCACTGCGGTGATTCACTCAACAAATGTAGCAAGAAAAGTCGTAAAATGAGGCAGGGTTCCCTTGACAAATTTCTCACTTCAGCGACATGAATTTCTGGGCTCAATTGTGGTCGTAAGTCAAGAACCACCTGGACTTTGCACCCTGAACACTCAATGCTCCATGAAGGGATGGGAGATCTAAGGAACAAAGCTGGAGTTTCGCAATGCCACCCATAAGCCTTGAGCCTGTGGGTCCCCAGGAACATGCTGTGTGTTTCTCAACACCAACCAAAGTGTGAATTTACCCTTCTGCAAAACTAAACATCTATTGCCATAATGGTAGGCTTTCTGGGCCCACTGGAAGCAAGGAAACAGGCTGCTTCCTGCCTCCGGAGCGCCTCAGGTGGTGGTGGGGAAGGCCTGTTTTTTTCTCTACCCAGGCTCCAGAGCCTTTCTAGGAGCTTGGGGAGGGCGAAAACAGCCTTCCCCACTCCCTCGGAGGCCTCTGGAGGCCGGAAATGGCTCGTTTGCCAATTTCTGGTGGGCCCAGAAGGCCCGCCATTACGGCAATAGATGTTTAGCTATCTGGGGGGATGGAGAAGGCCATTTTCACCCTCCCCAAGCTCCTAGAAAGGCTCTGGAGCCTGGGGAGAGAAAAAAACAGGCCTACTGGGCCCACCGAGTTATCGCGTGCCAGGAACGGGGGGAGGGGTCACACATGCATGCGCGGGGGTGGGGCACATAGAATTACGGGTTTGGGCACGCGTGCATGCGACCCCCTCCCTCTCCCCACTCCTGGCATTCGATGGCAAAAAGGTTAGCCATCACTGATCTATTGTATCTCCAACAGAACCATCTATATTATCTGAAAGTCCTCCATCCACTGCTATTGTTTTGAAGGGTTTTTTCCCCCCCACGCAGGATGAGGTGTGATGACTCCTGTTATGGGTCTTACACTACATAAAACTACCTTTTTGGCTGAGCTGCGAATCCTTGGCAGCATGTATATCTCCTCGAGTTCCTTCTGCCGCTCCTCTTCTTCCACTTTCTTCCTCTGTTCCTCAGGAATGATGTTTTCCCACTCCTTCTGAGATTTCTCTTCCGCCTCGGCTTCTTCCTCTTCTGTTGTAGCAAAGTTTGCTACCTGAGAAGATGACACAACAAGGCTTTCTATACTGGGCTTCCATAACACATCCTGGACGTAAGCTGTTTCAACTCCTTCCCTCGGGGCGCCGCTATAAAGGCACTGCTTGCCAAAACAACTAGAAACAAAAACAGCTTTTTCCCTCCTGCCATCACTCTGCTGAACACCTAATGACCACATAACTGTCTTGTGTCTAAGGGCATTTATCCAAGTAGTAAGGCTGCATTGCTATTATCCTTCTCATCTTTCCTACTAGCTTCTCCTATTGGTATCTTATTGTTTGTATGCGCACTGCGAGCTTATGCACCAGAGACAAATTGGCCAATGGAGATGCTTCTGCTGCTTCTGCCATGGTGGCACAGTGGTTAGAATGCAGTACTGTGGGCTATTTCTGCTGACTGCCAGCAGGTCGAGTCTCGCTAGGCTCAAGGTTGACTCAGCTTTCCATCCTTCTTAAGGTTGGTAAATGAGGACCCAGATTGTTGGGGCCAATATGCTGACTGCTTAGAGAGGGCTGTAAAGCACTGTGAAGTGGTATATAAGTCTAAATGCTATTGCTATTTTTTCTTCTTCTTCTTCTTCTTCTTCTTCTTCTTCTTCTTCTTCTTCTTCTTCTTCTTCTTCTTTTCTTCTTCTTCTTCTTCTTCATCAACTTATCTTCATCTTTCTTCTTCTCCTTCTTCCCTTGTCCCTTCTTCTCCCCCCCTCTCCTTCCTCCTCTTCCTCCCTTAATGATCATGGCCTTAGAAACTCCTTCCAGCCCTGAGATTTCCTCCTCAAGATGGTTGTACAGGAATCTTCCTGTCTCAGCTAGCTCTTCAGTTGTTTAACTGGAGCTGTTTCCAGAAGATCCAAAAATCTGAGCTGTTAATTTCAGGTTTCTAACTAAACAACATGTTGACTTTGTTAGCTGTGGGTCCCCCCAAGATCTGGGGTAGAAGAACTTTGTCTCACTGTGTCTCCATTTCAATTATATTTAAGTAAGATTTATGGATATGAAGGCACTTCATATTTCCTCTGCTGTCACTTACAGTTTATTGCCACCCAATGTGTAGCTTATTGGATGGCAATATTTGAGCATTTTTTAAATTGCCACCTAGGATTGAACTCTCATCCTTCTGAGTGAGAGGTGAGTGTCTTCACCTCTAGGCCATCACGCCATTCCCTTTAATTCCATTGATAATGCTATTCTGAATTCTGAAACCTTTGATGCGCCTTTTCTGGGCCTGTACCTTAAACTGTGAAAGCAGTTCATCTGTTGCACTTGTGGATGGTTCATTCTCTCGTGTCTCAGCCAGGCGTAAGATTTCCTCAATGTCCATTTCCTGGAAGCAGGGGGGGAAAAGTGTAATCAGACACACACCAATATGAGATATTTAATATTGTCCTTCTGATACGGAAATGAATTTGCTTGAGTTAAATCTCTGCCAATTTCAAATGACATCCCAAGGAGATGAAATATGTTTCAGAAAACTCACCTGCGGTTCAGATTCTTCCCCTTCCGCTTCTTTAAAAAGGTCTTCAGCTCCAAACTTCAAGATGGCTGTCAGTTCTTCCTTGTTGAATGGGTTGGAACTAGAGAAAAAAAAGTTTCCAGTTTACAAGTCCTTGGACCATATCGTAGCTCACTTTTCCAGATCTCAAATAATCTATTTCCTTGTACTACTTATCCGTTGATAAGGAGTCCAATCCAACTCCTAATCTCCTTTGAGCTGAGGAAACTTGGCAATTTGCAATTCCGAGTAGCTAAAATCATTCTTTTTGTCTTTTTAAAATCAGTCAATGTTACAAATGAATTATCTGTCTTTTAAAAAAAAGACAGTTAGCAACCTTAGCATAAAACATGTGTTTAGGTATCAATGACCACGTCTGGCTGACAAATACAACCAGCTCACTTTATCTCGTCAAACTTTCAAAACAGGGATTGATGCTAATCACTTGGTCTGTATTGCCTGCTAAATTGAGGAAAGTTCCAGAATCTACTGGTAGAGAGGATCCCTTCCCACTGAAGAGTTCAGCTCAATTAAGACTAAGTCTTATCACCTTAACAGATTAACATTCAAATGGTGCCACATAACAGCTATCTTGATCAGCAGACCAGAAGTCCCATCTCCTTACTTCGATCTATCAGAGCTGTTGTCCAAAACTGTCCGGCCTGTGGTATCCATTCGTTGTATCACGAGATGGTCCAGCACCATCTTCTTCTTCGCTCTTTCTATAATCTCCTCTTCCACTGTTCCCTTTGTAACCAAGCGATAGATATTTACCTGCAGAATCCAGGGGATGCGTGAAATAGCTATATAGGTAGCTTTTTTATCCCTGGTGCAGCCAAGGTGAGGCGCAGAAATCTTTCTTGGATCTGTCCCTAGTTCAATGACTCACCTGACCTTTTTAAAGGACCAGGAAGGGACAGGTATCAAGAACCAACATGCTGCAAATCTAAAGCTACTGGCTTCTAATACCTTACAACAAAAGTAGAAGTTATCCCACCAGGATTATTTACCTTTAGGGAAGTAAATGTCTCATTTTCAGCCATGTTTACCAAGGCAGCCCCTTTGAACCACCCCTCCACCACCATCCAACCCCAAATTCCCTCTATTATTAAACCTTGCTGTTCACTATTTCAAAAACAACGAAAAGAATAATTAGAATTTTCTTTGCCAGCCTACCCAATACGGAAAGGCAGGATCTGAAAACTTGAAATCCTGAACTGGGCCAACTGACAAAGAGCCACACGTAAAGTATGCCTGCTCCACAATTTGGCCAAATTCAAACTGCTCAGTTCCCACAATCCTTAATAATAAGTGAAGCTCAACCGGCGGGGGCTACTCAAGCAGACCACTAGGAAGCCCCCCTCCCCTACTGCCTTCATCCCCGGGTTCCAAGTTCTAAATCCCATTTCTCAGTGAAGGAACAGCCAGCTGACATGGCAGACAGCCAATCTGGTCGATGCTTCAGATGCTGGCCTAGAAACCAGCAGACTGGATTTCTAGTCCCGCCTTAGGCATGAAAGCCAGCTGGATGACTTGGGGCCAGTCACTCCTTCTTAGCCCAACCAACCTCACAGGGTTGTTGTAGGAAAAACAGGAGGAGTATTAAGTATGTTCACTGCCTGCAGCTAATTATAAAAGTAATAAAGGCAGGATAAAAATTGAATAAATAATCATAATACTTAGCCCTTGCAACATTCAGGGGATTTGAAAGAATAGGGTACTCTAGTTAACAGCCAGATAGTACCCTGTTTCCCCCAAAATAAGACATCCCCTGATAATAAGGCCAATTGGGCTTTTGAGTGCATGGCAATAAGGCCAAGCATTTATTTCAGGGTTCAAAAAAAATATAAGATAGGGTCTTATTTTCGGGAAAACATGGTCCCTGCCTGTTGTGGCCCGTCAGCGGCCTGTGCAGCTAGCAGCTGATTCCAACAGCGAGGAGGCTGGTGTGGTGCTGCGCCAGCAGTCTGTGCAGCTGGCACTCGAGTCGGACAATGAGGAGGCTGGAGAAGATGTGGTGCCAGAGGCAGGGATTCAGCCAGGGCCTTCAGAACCTCCAGAAGCTCCCTTAAGTGAAGAGGACGAAGAGGAGGAGCCTCTTTTCGATGCACGGGCGCGCAGAGCTGCCAAAAGGCAGGAGTGGCTCCTCAGGAGGAGGTCTCCTCGAGAGTAAGGCTTGGGGCTAATTGGCCACTTCCTTAGCCTATTTAAGGAAGGACAACGACTGAGGCAATTTGCAGGGAACAACTTCGTTCATTCTCCTTCGTGTCTGGATCTTAGTTCTCTGCAAATTGCTTCTGGGCTTTCTGCCAACCATAGTAAGATTATGATTATTTATTCTTTGGATTCTTGTAGGCTGTTAAGAAAGTTAATTAACAGCCTTTGTTTGAAAAAGACTGATTTAATTTAGTAAACTAAGGTTTGTACAGACTTCGTGTGTGCTGCGTTCTTTGGGGTCCGTAGCTGGGGCAAAACACTGCCTGGAAATTAATTTCTCTTTTGTAGCCAGAGAAGACAAAGCAACTGGGAAGGAATTAATTTCCAGACTGCTACCATCTGACCGTTAACTAAATTTCCCAATTTCTGACTCCTTTCAGATGCCCTGAATGTTGGCTCCCAGAATCCCCAATCCCCCTTGCTAGGAACTGAAGTCCACACCACAACTGCAGAAGATCTTAAAGGAGGAGAACGTTTCTCACTAACTTGTTTCTTTTGCCCAATCCGGTGAGCCCGAGCCTGGGCCTGTAAGTCATTCTGGGGGTTCCAGTCCGAATCAAAGATCACCACCGTGTCAGCCGATGCCAAGTTGATCCCCAGGCCGCCAGCGCGCGTGGAGAGTAGAAAGCAGAAGTCCTAAGGACATGTGATGAAAGGAAACACACATTTACTGTAGGTCTGCATTTGAATAGGTCCAGGAGGAGAGTCAGCAAAGGCCTGGTCAGGTGGCAGGAATTGGGGGAATAATGGTTACAGGCCAGCAGGGCATCACAAGCAAATGGAGACATGTACACGCCTTCTACACCAGTTACAGGTAGTCCTCAATTTACATGCGTTTGTTTAGTGACTGTTCAAAGTTACAACAGCACTGAAAAAAGTGGCTTATGACTATTTTTCACCCTTATGACCGTTCCATCAATCCCCTTGGTCCAGAGGTGGTATTCAGCAGATTCTGACAAGTTCTGGAGAACCGGTAATGGAAATTTTGAGTAGTTCGGAGAACCGGCAAATACCACCTCTGACTGGCCCTGCCCCCATCTATTCTCTGCCTCCCGAGTCCCAGTTGATCGGGAGGAAATGGGGATTTTGCAGTAACCTTCCCCTGGAGTGGGGAGGGAATGGAGATTTTACAGTATCCCTCCCCTGCCACACCCACCAAGCCACACCCACAGAACCGATAGTAAAAACATTTGAATCCCACCACTGCCTTCGTCATGTGATTTACATTCGGATGCTTGGCAACTGGTTCATATTTAGAATAGAATAGAATAGAATAGAATAGAATAGAATAGAATAGAATAGAATAACAGAGTTGGAAGGGACCTTGGAGGTCTTCTAGTCCAACCCCCTGCCAGGCAGGAAACCCTACACCACTTCAGACAAATGGTTATCCAACATATTCTTAAAAACTTCCAGTGTTGGAGCATCCACAACTTCTGGAGGCAAATTGTTCCATTAGTTAATTGTTCTAACTGTCAGGAAATTTCTCTTTAGTTCTAAGTTGCTTCTCTCCTTGATTAGTTTCCATCCATTGCTTCTTGTCCTGCCCTCAGGTGCTTTGGAGAATAGCTTGACTCCCTCTTCTTTGTGGCAGCCCCTGAGATATTGGAAGGCTGTTATCATGTCTCCCCTGGTCCTTCTCTTCATTAAACTAGACATAGCCAATTCCTGCAGCCGTTCTTCATATGTTTGAGCCTCCAGTCCCCTCATCATCTTTGTTGCTCTTCTCTGCACTCTTTCTAGTCTCCACATCCTTTTTTATATCGTGGCGACCAAAACTGAATGCAGTATTCCAAGTATGGCCTTACCAAGGCATTATAAAGTGCTTATAAACACTCGCCAAGTTCCCTCTCTGCCTAATAAGGTAGCCAGCAGAACTGTCAACAAAACTCAAGACATGGCCAAGATACGCTGGCTAAGCAAACCATGTTTCCGTTGCGGCGAGAAGCAGAGAGTCAGCTCCTGTGACCTACAGCTGGTCCTTCAGCAACTCATGAGTACAAAATAAACTTTTCCTTCAGTCCTGCCAGCCTCCTCCAGACCCTTCGGGATCCCCAGGCCTTTGTCAAAAGAAACTCAACTGACACCTTCCTTTCAGTCCCCCCCAAGGAGGCACCCCTTGTTACCTCCTTCCTAGGCAGCCCCTGCCCCTCCTCCCCACCTGTTTACCCAAGCCGGATCCAGCCATACCTCTGAGCCTTCAGCGTTGAAATGATCCAAAGCCTGCTTCCGGATTTCTCCTTTGATGGAACCGTCCAGGCGCTGCAGAAAACAATGGCAAAGAGGTCAGCAGGTCTCCCAAGGTAAACCTCACCTCCAACCCACCCCAGAGGCCCCCCCCCAGGTCTCCTCCAGAAACTCAACTCTCCTCCCGATGGTTTCCTTCAGCTTAGAGCAAGACAACAGTCTAAAAATAACCACGATTAAAAATAACTCGGGCTGATCCTGCTGCTGGGAATGGTGGCCAGGAGGCAGAAAGAGTAGGAGAGAAGGCGAGAAAGGGGGAAAAGAGAGGAGGAGTGGGGGAATGGAAGGGGAAGTAGGGAAGAGGAAGGAGAGGAGGAGGGAGGAAGGAAGGAAGTAGGAGAGGAAAGGAAGTAGGGAAGAGAAGGGAAAGAAAAAGAAGGAGGTTTGTTGTAAAATGAGGGGAAAGAAAGGGTAGAAGAGTAACCCCGAATGCAATTAAAATGTTTTATTGTTATGCTTTCTTTAGGAAAAATGTGTATATGTATGATTAATTATGGATAAGAGAATATACATTTGCAATAGGTGTATAAGAAGTAAAAATATTTTTTTTTTCAGAAAAAAAAAATAGGAGGAAAGAAGACCAGGTTCCTGCAACCAAGCCATCTATTAAGCAGGTTTATGAAGAAGGAGGAAAAAGAGACAAACAGAGATCAGGGAAAAGTGAGCCGCATGGCAAAGTGTGTTTCTCCAGAGTCTGGATTAAATGATATCTTAAAATGGATTACATCCTATCATAAAGGGCTGAACGATATGTAGGTTAATACAGGTAGTCGTCGATTTATGGTCACAACCGAGCCCAACATTTCTCTGATTAAAATGAGTTTACGTTTGTTAAGGGGTGGGGGTTCTGCCCCATTTTACGAAGTTTCTTGCCACAATTGTTAAGCAAATCACCACAGTTCTTAAGTTAGGAACAAGGTTGTTAAATGAATCTGATTTCCCTGTTGACTTTGCTTGTCAGGTCACAAAAGGGGATCATATGATCCTGAGACAGTGAGTTGCCAAGCATTTGAAATTTGATCACATGACCATGGGGATCCTACAAAGGTCGAAAGCGTGAAAAATGGTTATAAGTCACTTTTTTTGAGTGATGTAACTTCCGGTCACGTAAATGAACTGTTGTAAGTCGAGGACTACCTCTATTAGCTTTTTTTTGAAGTTAGTTCCTTTCAATTTATTGTTTTATCACTGTTGCATCATTTTGATCTTTGTTCAATCTCGCTGTTAGTTTTGGGTTTTCTTCCTTTTTCTAAAAACTATTTGTGTTTTTGTGTTTTGCTTCTTTTTTTTCTTATTAATTAAAAGCAATAATTAAAAAAGGAGTCCCATAGAATAGAGTCCCATAGAGTCCCATGTCCGAAGACATTTCTGCAGTCATGTGGCCAGCATGATTTCACAGAGCACGGTTACTTCCCATTGAAGTGGTACCTCTTTATCTACTTGCATTTGCATGCTTTTGAAGGTTGGCAGGAGCTGGGGCAAGGCACTAAAACTAATACAATAACTAAAACAACATTTCTCGTTCAGCAGAAAATAAAAACTTTCCCATCTGGTATCTTCCATTGCCTGGCAAGTAGAACCCTTGCCTATTATAGCCAAGATCCTCCAGAAAGGCTGCACGCTTCAGCTATCTGCAAACATCCCCGTTAAAGTTGGTCTTTCTCCCTCATCCACCGTAAGGCAAAATACACTTGAGAGCTTCCTGCTGCCCCACCACCATATCTATCTGTCTGTCTGTCTGTCTGTCCGTCCATCCATGTCTGTCTGTCTTTCTGACCGTCCATCCATCCATCATGTCTGTCTGCCCTTCCTTCCATCCATCTATCCATCCATCCATCCATCCATCCATGTACGTCTCTGTCCGTCCATCCATCTATCCACCCACACACCCATCATATGTCTGTCCGTCCGTCCATCCATCCATCCATCCATCCATCCATGTATGTCTGTCCATCCACTATCTATCTATCTATCTATCTATCTATCTATCTATCTATCTATCTATCTATCTATCTATCTATCCATCTCTCCATCCATGTCTGTCTGTCTGTCTGTCCATCATCAAATCTATCATCAAATTCCTGGTCTTCACCTGGAAAGGGTAGTGCTTGATGGTCAGATACTCCGCCAAAATGTCCAACATTCTCACCATCTGGGAGAAAATGAGGACTCGGTTGCCCCTCGCACGGAGCCTGCTGAGCAGTTTGTCCAGAAGGATGAGTTTTCCGCTGCTCCTGATTAAAGACTAAGAAGACAAGAGTGACCGTGAGCTGGTGATTCAAAACCTGATGGAGCAAAGTTGACTGAGCAACTGAGTATCTATTCCTCAATTCTTCTCCAGAACGTCATGCTTAGCTGCACAACCAGCCTAACAATATTATGAGTTCCATCTCTGACTAAATCCTTAATTTCTTCATTGATATTCAGGCTTTAGCCAGGGTTGTGAAATCCAGCAGGTTCTGACAGGTTCTGGAGAACCGGTAGCGGAAATTTTGAGTAGTTTGGAGAACCGGCAAATACCACCTCTGGCTGGCTCCAGAGTGGGGTGGGAATGGAGATTTTGCAATATCCTTCCCCCAGGAGTGGGGAGGGAATGGGGATTTTTCAGTATCCTTTCCCTGGAGTGAGGTGGAAATGGAGATTTTGCAATATCCTTCCCCCAGGAGTGGGGAGGGAATGGGGATTTTGCAGTATCCTTCCCCTGCCACGCTCACCAGGCCACACCACACCACGCCCACCAGGCCATGCCCACAGAACCGGTAGTAAAAAAAATGGAATTCCACCACTGGCTTTAGCAATACGCGAGAAAAGATCCAGAAAATGGTCTCCAAGTAACAGCAGGACGTTTGCAAGATTCAGACTTGCAAGGTTCTGCAAATGTAGCCGTACAATAACGTAGAGTTAGCTCATCTAGTTGGGTTTCCTTTTCTGGTTTACCTGGAAGGGCTGACGTTACCGGAAGTTTTCTCCAAGCTCTACCTACCTGCAGCCTCTCCTGGTTGTTTTCCTTCTCATTCTCTTCTGGAGGTTTGATCAGGTAACAGTGATTGCAACATTTCTTCAGCTCCATCACGATGTTCAGGAAGCCAGAAGTGCTGCCACGTGTTCCCTTGGACAGGGCTTTGTAATTCCTTGTTAAAATCCATCTGAAGGGTCAGAAGATAGCAAACATCAGTTTCAGCCCCTTTGGCAGCTTCAAGAAAGCAAGTCAGCACATGCACAACAGAGAATAATAGAGTTGGAAGGGACCTTGGAGGTCTTCCAGTCCAACCTTCTGCTCGAACAGGAGACCTTATACAAGTACGCCAGTCCTCAAGTTACAACAGAACTGAGGCCACCGTTGTTAATTATTCAAATCTGAATGCTGCCAATTTTAAAAACATTGTATTCATTGGTTTATCAATCCCGTACTTGCTCAACCAGCCTTCGGTTTTTAATTTATGGACGTTTATGGGGAGGGGAGGAGAGAGCAGGGGTGAAATGCTCCCAGTTCGGACCGGATCGCTCGATCCGGTAGCGATGGTGGCGGGTGGTTCGGAGAACCGGTAGCAAAAATCCCTGTGCCCCCGCCCCCCATGCCCAGCTGAGCCACGCAATCATCAGAGGCTTTTTTTTTACTTTTAAAAGCATTTTTTCTACTATCTTTTCTGCCAAAAAATGTTTCTAAAAGTTTTTTAAAAAGCCTTTGATGATCGCGCGGCTCAGCTGGGATTGTCAGAGGCTTTTAAAAGCATTTTTCTTCTCTTTGGCGGAAGATGTTGTAGAAAAAAATGCCTTTAAAAGCCTCTGACGATCCCAGCTGAGTTGCCTGATCATCAGAGGCTTTTAAAAGCATTTTTTCCTGCAACCTCTTCAGCCGAAGAGGTTATAGAAAAAATGCTTTTATAAGTTAAAAAAAAAAAAGTTGGCCACGCCCACCCAGTCACATTACCCCCCCCCCCACCAAACCACGCCCACAGAACTGGTAGTACCAAATTTTACATTTCGCCACTGGGTGAGAGCTTCGGTTATCACCCCCAAGGGGCCTTCTTGTGTGACCCTTGATGGCCAATTCGAATGAAATCCAGCTCAGAACGGCAGATGCCTGCAGCGTTGCAACAGGAGACTTCCCAAAGTCTCCAATGTTGCATCTAGGCTAGGGATCACTTGGAATCTGATTGGTTGTGGAGACCAGTAGAAGGACGTTGGGCAGCCTCCTCCTGTGGGCAGGAAATCCAAGCACCATGCTACTTTTACTTCTTTCCTAAGGAAAAAGTTACCTTGTGGTGCCCGTGCAGAGTATTCCTAGCCCACCACCAGAAGAACCCTTACTTGTAATACTGCTTCTGGAGGGCAGACATCTCCACCCGCAGGATCTGCTCCACTTTGGCTGGGAGGGATTTCTCCACGTCCTTCTTCACCCTGCGCAGGAGAAAGGGCTCCAGGACCTTATGCAGACTCTGGTACCCGTTCTCGCGTCCTCTGCCATGGTCGTCTTCAAAGTCTTCCCAGGATTCGAACCTGACAGCCACAGACAGGGCAAGGGGGTGAGGAAGAGAGAGAGAAAGAGAGAGGGAGGGAGGGAGGGAAGGAGGGAGAGAGAGAGGGAAGGAGGGTAGAGAGAGAGGGAGGGAGGGAAGGAGAGAGAGAGAGGGAAGGAGGGTAGAGAGAGAGGGAGGGAGGGAGGGAGAGAGAGGGAAGGAGGGAGAGACGGAGGGAGGGAGGGAAGGAGAGAGAGAGAGGGAAGGTGGGAGAGAGAGAGGGAGGGAGGGAGAGAGAGAGAGAGGGAGGGAGAGAGAGAGAGAGAGAGAGGGTAGAGAGAAAGAGTGGAAGAGAGAGAGAGAGAGGATAAGAACCAATCAGGCTCACCTCCAAAGCCAATTTTGCAGGTTCAAAAAGGACCTTATCTAAACATTATCTAGTCCAGTGATGGCTAATCTTTTCTGGACCGAGTGCCCAAAGCATGTGCGCGCACGTGCGAATGTGTGTGCGTGTGCCCGAACCCCCAAAATGCGATGTGTGCGCACCCCATGCATTCACCCTGCCCCGTGCATACACGCATGCCCCCTGCATGCACACGCCCCCCCTGCGTATGCATGGGTGTTCCCCCCGCGCATGCGCAGCAGAGACCCGAAGACCAGCTGGCCAGCAGGAGGCGCGCACGCAGAGCTGAATTGGGGCGATGGTTCATGTGCCCACAGAGAGGACGCTGTGTGCCACCTCTGGCACATGTGCCATAGGTTCACCATCACGGATCTAGTCCATTCTTCCTTTCTACTGGCAAGGTAGGCACAAGCATGTCACATCAGCTACAGGCAGCCTCATTTATTTCTACGGAGATTCTCAGCCATCCAGGTCATGGTTGTCCATGGCTCATGACTTGGGTACTTGCAGGACCGCCTACTACCACCAATAGCCTCCCACCGGCCGGTACGCTCTCATAGAGAGGGGCTCCTCTGGGTGCCGTCGGCCAAACAATGCCGACTGGCGGCCCCCAGGGGGAGAGCCTTCTCTGTGGGGGCACCTACTATCTGGAACGAGCTCCCCCCGGAGATACGGAGGATCCCAGATCTGCGCACCTTCCGCCGCCCTTTAAAGACCTTTTTATTTCACTAGGCGGGCCTGGCCTAATTTTCTCCCTCTTTCATAAAAGATTTTTAATTTTTAATATTTTTTAGTATTTTATATATTCAAATTTTAAAATTGGTTTTAAATTGATTGGGGTTTTAATTTGTCTGGGCCAAACTATTTAATTTGATTTTAATTCCACTTTTAAATTTTGTATGTATGTATTTTATTGTTTGGCTGTGCACCGCCCTGAGTCCTTCGGGAGTAGGGCGGTATAGAAATCAAATCAAATAAATAAATAAATAAAATAAAAGGTGTTTTTTTTTTCCAAGAGGCAACTGGACTTTCATGCCTTTTGAAAAAACACCTTTGGGGTAGGGGTGAAATGTAAAATGTGTTACTACCGGCTCTGTGGGCGTGGTTTGGTGTGTGTGGGGGGTAATGTGACTGGGTGGGCGTGGCCAACTTTTTTTTTAACTTTTCAAAGCATTTTTTGTAATGCTTTGAAAAGCCTCTGGCGATCAGGCAACTCAGCTGGGATTGTCAGAGAAGCTTTTTAAAAAATGCTTTGAAAAGCCTCTGCCGATCAGGCAACTCAGCTGGGATCATCAGAGAGGCTTTTAAAAAAATGCTTTGAAAAGCCTCTGAGGATCCCAGCTGAGCCGCGCAATCATCAGAGGCTTTTTTTTTTTTTTTTTTATTTACTTTTAAAAGCATTTTTTTGTCGGAAGAGGTTGTAGAAAAATGCTTTTAAAAGTAAAAAAAAAAAAAGCCTCTGATGATCGTGCGACTCAGCTGAGCATGGTGGGGGGAGTGCTGGGATTTTTGCTACCAGTTCTCCGAACCACCCGCTGCCATTGCTACCGGATCGGGCAATCCAGTCCGAACCGGGAGCATTTCACCCCTGCTTTGGGACCTCATTAATTCCATCATTTAATTTTAACATAGGAGGCTGCCCAGCTCCTTAGAGACTCTGGGCAGTGTTTTGACATTAAAAAGAGGAAAATTATAAAAAAAATTATAATTATATATTTATAAAAAAAATAAATAAGAAAAGAACATTGTATTTTCAGAAAAGAGACGATAAAACTGATAAAACTCTGCAAGGGAATCCTACACATTGTATTAAAAGCTTTCATCCACTGCAAAATGCTTCTGTGAATGCTTCTGTTACCTAATAAAATTTATTACTGAAAAAAGGGCTATCAGATTCCTGGCTCTTTTTTTTTTTGCCAGAATAAACTATCAGATGCAGAATTTTTTTATAATAAGTTTGTATTAGGCTTGTATTGATAATTGCTGTATAATAATTTGGGCTTCTAAATCTATCTTGCTCTAAAGTCAATCAGAAAGTTCGGTGGTTTGAATCCCTAGTATAGGTCTCCTGCGTGAGCAGGGGGTTGGACTAGATGACCTCCAAGGTCCCTTCCAACTCTGTTACTGTTACTGTAAAGGCCACTTTAAGCTTTGAGTCTCATTTGCTTTAGCAATTGCACCATGTTGTAGCTAAAGAGCTACTTCCCAACTCAACTTACTTCTCTGGCATGATGAATTGCAGCAGGGACCACAGTTCCTTCAGGGAATTCTGAAGGGGTGTCCCAGTGATGAGCAGGCGGTGATTGGACTTGAAGTCAATCAGTGTCTTGTAGAGCAAAGAATCATCATTCTTCAAGCGATGGGCTTCATCAACACCCAGGAAGGCCCAGTTGATGCTTCCCAGGACGGCCTAGAGAAGAAAAATCAGATGGGTCACAATACAGCAATAACATAGCTTAGATAGATAGCTTAGAAAGATAGCTTAGAAAGCAAAAGATAATTGCCCAAACACCTGAAGAGCAAATACAATGCAGATGTTACTCATATTAGTTCTTTGAATTCATGGTATTGTGACCACTGTCTTTTGCACCTTAATGCTGCCAAAACATTCCTGTGACAGAAAGAAAGAAAGAAAGAAAGAAAGAAAGAAAGAAAGAAAGAAAGAAAGAAAGGAAAGGAAGGAAAGGAAAGGAAAGGAAAGGAAAGGAAAGGAAAGGAAAGAAAGACCAAAAAAGGGCTAAACTGCTAGGGCAGACAGAAGAAAGAAGGTGGCCAGGGTTCCTCCTTCCTCCAAGTAGAAACTGCCTTGGCCCATCACTCACCTTGTCTTTCAGGAGGATCTCGTAGGTTGTAATCAGGACATTGAACTTCAGCCGTTTGGTCTGAGAGTGGATCCACTCATACTCACGGATCTGAAGTAAAATAAATGAATAGGTTGGTTTGGCAATTTGAAGATGTGTGGATTTCACAACCCAAAATTCCCCAGCCAGCAGAGCTAATTATACCACCTAATCATCCAACAGTTCTTTTTTTTTTAAATGCAAAAGCCTGATTCACTAAACCAAAATGAAATTTGATTTTTGTTTAGCGATAGCGCTTAGATTTATATACCGCTTCACAGTGCTTTACAGCTCTCTCTAAGGGGTTTACCCAACAATCTGGGTCCTGCCCCCCAACAATCTGGGTCCTCCTTTTACCGACCTCGGAAGGATGGAAGGCTGAATCGACCTTGAGCCGGTCAAGATCGAATTCCTGGCAGTCGGCAGAGTTAGCCTTCAATACTGCATCCTAACCACCATGCCACAATGGCTCTTATCCTGTCCTGGGAAAGCTGTCATCTGCAAGTCGATTCAACAGGGTTAAACAAGGAGTGGATCTGAGCATCCAGGCAAATTTGGGCATGGTTCCACAGGCCAGCTACCCAACACATGAGAAGATGGCCCCTAGGTTGTTGAAGTGTTTCCATGCCCAATATCCAGATAAACCTAACAAATCGTTTATATTTTTCTTCCAGGTGAAGTTTTCCTTCTCCTAGGGGGGCAGCATGTCAGGTCCCCATAGATCCCTATCGGGATGCTGCCATTCAGCCGGGGAGGGCCTGCATGCCAGTTTACAACTTTTTCCTATTTCTGAGCCTTCCTTTACATTGATGTCTTCCTGGGAATGGGAGGGGGGAAGGAATAGCCTGGGGCCATCTGTTTTGTCGCAGTTCAGAGGAACTGAGAAAACGGCACCCGAGAACAGCTTCTTATCACCTTCTCAGCTCGAGGTTCTCATAACAACTCGGCACTTGTGGATTGTGGATTGTCTCGCCTCCCTCCAAACTGGACAAAGGAAGAAAAGTTTCTACAACTTTTAACCTAACGGTTTTGAGTGGGAATTTCAGATCCTGCCTTGCTTTTCTTGCTATCGCTGTCTCCCAATAATGGCACTTTCATTTCTGTGTCATGCACCCTGCAGCTCACCCCACAGAGCTGTAGAAAAAGAGAAACGTGTTGTCCTAGTCCCATTCAACCCCTTCCTCGATGCTAGTTTACGCACAGCGTTCCTGCTCAACTGATCTCCGATGTACACAACCACGTTGACCTCTGGGGCCCAGATCTCAAACTCTCTCTGCCAGGAGGTTAGGGTTGACAAGGGCACCACGATCAGGAAGGGGCCATAGAGCTGGTGCTGATAGAAGAGGTAGCAGAGGAAAGAAATGGTCTGGATGGTCTTCCCCAAGCCCATCTCGTCCGCCAGGATGACACTGTTGCTCCTGAGGAAGCAGACAAGCAAAGGGGTCAAGCCAGCATAGTCACGTCCCTTCCAACTCTTGTTATTTTAGGTGAAACGTTCATATATGTAGCACAGTGGTGAAATCTGAACTGATGGTGAAATTTAGAACCGCCGCACATTTGCGTCATGCGCCAAATGTGTGCATGCATGTGCAATGCACACCAAATGCAAATTGTGTGCGCGCATGCACAGTGCACACCAAAAGGCGGCTTGGGAAAGTAAGTAGAACAGCGTGGGGGGGGAGATCAGCTGTGGCGCGTGTGGGAACCTTTTAAAAAACTTTTTTAAAGCATTTTTTTACTACCGGCTCAGGCGAATAGGAGGCTTTGATGATCACAGCTGTGCCGCGCGATCGTCAGAGCTTTTTTTTTTTTTTACTTTTTTAAAGCATTTTTTTACTACCTATTCGCTGGAACCGGTAGTAAAAAAATGCCTAAAAAGTTAAAAAAAAGAAAAAAGTTCCGACTATCAGCTGAGCGATGGGTGATCCTTGGAACTTTTTTTTTTTTTTTTAAATTAAAGCATTTTTAACTAACGGTTCCGAAGAACCAATAGTAAAAAATGCTAAAAAAGTTAAAAAAAAAAAAGTTCCAAGGATCGTGCGTCGCTCAGCTGATCATCAGAAGTTTTTTTTAAAAAAAATTTTTTACTACCACTTCATTGAACCAGTAGCATTTTTTACTACCGGTTCAAGCGAACTGGCCTGAACCGGTAGCATTTCACCCATCGGTAAGAGACACTGCTTCAGGTCATCAAGAGAAGAGCATCCAAAACCTCTTTCTGGAATATGTTTTGGGGGGGAGGGGTAAGAAGCACCTGCCCTCACTTACTTGCACCAAGAATGAGCCAACCAATTGAGGCCCTCCAGCTGATAGTCCCGGAGTTCCAGATTCTCCCCACCAATGTAGGAAGGTTGGTTCTTCAAGGCCACAAAACGAGGTCTTTGCTTCAGCACCTAAGAGGAAGACATCCATCATTCTCCCAGCTTCAGACCTGCTGCTCTGGGGAATTACAGGTGGTCCTCGATTTACGACCACAATGGAGCCCAAATTTTATGTCACTAAGCGAGATATTTGTTACGTGAATTTTGCCCCATGCTACGACCTTTCTTGCCACATTTGTTAAGTGAATTACTGCAGCTGTTCAGTTAGTAACATGGTTGTTAAACCGTGAATCCGGGTTCCCTGTTGACTTTGCCTTCCAGAAGGTCGCAAAAAGGGATCACATGACCCCGGGACACTGCAACAGTCTTAAGTACGAAGCAGTTGCCAAGCGTCTGAATTTTGATCACATGACCATGGGGATGCTACAATGGTCAGAAGTGTGAAAAATGGTCGTGTCACTTTTTTCAGTACTGTTGTAACTTCGAACAGTCACTAAGCGAACTGTTGTAAATCAAGGACTACCTGCACTGCATGCAACCTACCTACATTATCTGGTTGTATTCTGTTAAGGAGACCAAGACATAATTCTATATGGTCATTACCGTATTTTTCAGAGTATAAGACGCATCTTTTCCCCCCCCCAAAAAAGAGGGTGAAAATCTGGGTGCATCTTATACTCTGAATGTAGCCCAGCCTAGCCTCTCAAACAGGGGTTTCAGAGGCTGAAAAAAGCCTCTGAAAGGAAGCTCCAGAAAAAAAGCCTCTGAAACAGAGCTTCAGAAAAAAAAGCCTCTGAAACAGAGCTTCAGAAAAAAAAGCCTCTGAAAGGAAGCTTCAGGAAAAAAGCCACCGAAAAAGAACTTTAGAAAAAAAGCCTCTGAAAGGCTTTTTTTCTGAAGCTCTGCTTTGGAGGCTTTCAGAGGCAGAAAAAAAAGTTTTTTCCGAAACAGAGTTTCAGAAGTTTCAGAGGCAGAAAAAAAGAAAGCCAAAAAAAGGCAAGGCACAGAGCTGACAACCAAGGAACCTGTTGCTAAAATTCACCTCTGGGAACAGCTGATTGGAGGTATTCGAGGAAGCCGATCCACCCACCAATCAGCTTTTATCTTATTTTCCTCCCCAAAAACTAAGGTGCATCTTATGCTTTTTTTTCTGTCCCTGAAATTTCTGAAACAGAGCTTCAGAAAAAACTTTTTTTTCCTGCCTCTGAAAGCCTCTGAAACTTTCAGAGGCTTTTTTTCTGAAGCTCTGTTTGGAGGCTTTTTTTCTGAAGCTTCATTTCTGAGGCTTTTTTCAGCCTCTGAAACCTGTTTGAGAGGCTGGGCAGGGCTACATTTGGAGTATAAGATGCACCCAGATTTTCACCTTCTTTTTTGGGGGAAAAAGGTGCGTCTTATACTCTGAAAAATACGGTAATTCTCACAGTGTGGTCTAATGTCAATGTATATTTATCCATGTAGTATGGCTATTATTTATCCTTCTTAATATCGTCTTACTCTTTCCATTTATCATTATGGTATCATGATGATGATGATAATGATGATGATTCTGTTGCTTTGCATGTACACTGAGTGCTTCTGCACCAGAGACAAATTTCTCGTGTGTCTAATCACACTTGGCCAAATAAACAATTCAATTCAATTTGAATGGAGGCCAACATGGGAAGAGCAATCTAAGGGGTTGCCATAAAGAAGAGGGAGTCAACCTATTCTCTAAACCACCTGAAAACAGGACAAGAAGCAATGGATAATAATATGGGAGAGAACCAATTTAGAAGTAAGTAGAAATATCCTGACAGTTAAAATAATTGAGCAATGGAGCGGCTTGCCTCCAGAAGTTGTGAATGCTCCAACGCTGGAGGTTTTTAAGAAGAGATTGGACACCATTTGTCTGAAATGGTATAGGGTTTCCTGCCTGAGCAAGGGGTTGGACTAGAAGACCTCCAAGGTCCCTTCCAACTTTGTTTTTCTGTTAGACTAACCTTGCAGTCCCGAGTAGGCATGGCTTTGGAGTTGTTCCTACTGTTGAAGCTATCGATACAGGACTGGAATTTTTTGCTGATCAGAGCTTCGTCTTCCCAGCTACATTCTGCGTAGGGAAGTCCCATCCACTTGCAAAGGTATTCTGGCTCATTAGAGGAGGACTTGCGATTGTGAACTGCAAATTTTGGGGTAGGAGACAGAAAGGGAAGGGATGAAGAAATACATGATAAGAGCCCAGCCATATCCTTAATGGGCATGACGGAAATATCCTACCCAGGAATATTTGAGTAAAATACTTGACTGAGTATTGCAATCAGACATCTCTACCGAGCCATATCATTAAACAAAGCATGTAAATCAGTAAAATGAGTGATTCGCCTTACCTAGAAATTCAGTTCCAGGATTTGGCGATTTGTTTGTTTTCACCGCTGCGCATGAAACGAGAAAACAGCATCCATAAATGCAATGATTAAATTAAATTAATTATTTAATTGACCTGCTGCTTTTCTTATTTTTTTGTATAACAACTCAAGGTGACAAACATATCTAATGCTGCTGCTTCTTCTTCTTCCATCCTATTTTCCCCACAAAAATAAACCTGTGAGGGGAGGTTGACTGGGTCAGGTCTGCCATCTTCAGCTTGGTGCCATCAAAGGCAAGGAGAGAGGAGGGGGACATGGGAGGGGGAACAAATGGGCAATAACCTGCATGTGTATGTGATGGGAAATTGGGAGTGGGGAATAACAGCTTGGTGAAGAGCAGGAGAGCTTGGAACCAGTTGGTGCAAGTACCCAAGGTCGTGTACCCCGAGAAAGAATGTGAATTGCCCTAAACGTTCTCAAAACAAAACTCAAATTGATTTCGGTAGCGATGGCGGCGGGTGGTTCTGAGAACTGGTAGCAAAAATCCCTGTGCCCCCCTCTCCCATGCCCAGCTGAGCCGTGCCATCATCAGAGGCTTTTTTTTTTTACTTTTAAAAGCATTTTTTCTACAATCTCTTCAGCCGAAAAAATTATTTAAAAAAAAAAAAAGAAAAAAAAAAAGTCTCTGATGATCCCAGCTGAGTTGCTTGATCGTCAGAGGCTTTTAAAAGCATTTTTTCCCACAACCTCTTTGGCCAGTTGTAGAAAAAATGCTTTTAAAAGTAAAAAAAAAAAAAAATTGGCCACGTCCACTCAGTCACATTACCCCCCCACCAAGCCACGCCCACAGAACCAGTAGTGACAAATTTTACATTTCACCACTGCTTAAATGCCCTCGGTTTTCAGCCATACAAGGCACATCTTCTCAAAATATACATGAAGGTGTCATGGCTGTCATTCTAAGCTACCCATCGCAAGCTGACAGCCTGACTTTAATAATGGGGGGAGGGGGCAGTGGGGATAGTGACGCCCGAAGGGAACCAGGAGGAATTGAAAGCAAGCCATCCTGTGGGAAGCGGCAGCCATCTTAAGGTTACACTAAAAGAATGCAGACAGGCTCCCTTTCCCAAACAATTTGTTAACGTTTAATTCCGGGATGGCGAACCTATGGCACGCGTGCCAGAGGTGGCACGCAGAACCCTCTCTGCTGGCATGTGTGCTGTCGCCCCAGGTCAGATCTCCATAGCGTTTCTTTCGTGAGCTTCTGTTTCCCTGCAAATGATGAAACAGAAGCTCACAAAAGAAAAAGATCTTACCTCTTGCCGCGCTGCCGGTGTTGGGGTGCCCCACCTCCCGCCAGCCAGCTGGTCTTTGGGTCTCTGTTGTGCATACATGCCTATGTCCGGGCATGCATGCCTATGTCTGGTCTAATTGGACAGTGACTGACAATCAGGGGGCTGGCCACGATCAAGGGAAAGTTAACTATCTATTTTGCGCGCGAAAATCTCAGATCCAGCTTTGCCTCTTCTGTAACCACTTTGGCTTTAGTACAGTATACTTTTGGCTTAATCAGGGGCCAGGAGTCTTTCTTTCCCAATTGACCAGGTTGGGACAGTTGACAGAAGGATTTAACCAGAAACACATGGGATGCATTTTTGCTTCAACCCCAATGGCCTGATTCTTTTTTGACCCCAAACTCACCAATTACTCTTTCCACAATCTGGTACTGTTTGTTCAACTCAGCCGCCAGTTCCTGTTGGCAGTTGAAATACTCTACGTCTTCCGGGGTGACCTTTGCCAACCTGGATACAAAAATAAAAAGAACAAATCAGGTGTTTTTTTTTTGCCACAGGCGTGTTACGACTATTCTGATCTTACTATTGCACCAAACTTTTAGAAGTGGGAATGGGCGCACCCCAAATCTCATGAAATCTCTTATGAAAATTTGATTAATTTGATCGCATGTGCTCAAAAACACGATAGGGCTTCTTTTCAAGGAGGGTCGTCTTTTTGGAGAAACACGGTCGTCCTTGACTTACAACTCTTCCTTTAGTGACCAAAGTTACAACATCACTAAAAAAAAAGTGACTTACGGCCATTTTTCACACTTACAACTGTTACAGCATCCCCATGGTCAGGCACGTGATCAAAATTCAAACAGTTGGCAACTGATTCACATTTATGATGGTCCCAGTGTCCTTGGATCATGTGATCAACCATTCACTTAACAAACATGTAGCTAACTTAACTATTGCCATGCTTCACTTAACATCTGTGGCAAGAAAGGTCAAAAAAGGGGGCGAAAGTCACTTAACAAAGATCTCGCTTAGTAACATACAGTAGTGGCCAAAATTGTGGAAACCTTTTGGGAAAGGTGTATTTTCTAAAACTAGCTAATAACACCACTTTTTTTGGGGGGGGGGGAGTAGTACCATAAAATTATATATCAATGGAAACATAATTTAATCAAGGATGTAATGCAATAACTTTTATGAAGGATTTGCTATTAGAATAGCCGTTACAGTATAAAGAATTAAAGTGAAACACGTAGAAAAAATGAGATATACAAAAATTATCACCATGTCAGTTAATACTTAGTTGGGTAACCTTTAGCATGAATTACGGCCTTACAACATCTTCCCATGGAGTGAATCAAGTCTTTGAGTTCTGCAGCTGTTATCATGTGAAACCAAGATTGAATGATGGCTTCTATTAATTGGGTTTTATTGCTGGGTTGCTTCTGACTAACAAGTCTCTTTAGTTGGCTCCATAGATTTCCAATTGGGTTACGGTCTGGGCTATTCCCAGGCCATTCCAGCAGTGGAATAGGATGATTTTGAAACTCCAGAAAAAAAAAAAGTGGTATTATTAGCCATCAAACATCAAAAATACACTTTCCCCAAAAGGTTTCCACAATTTTGGCCACTAATATACATTTTGGACTCAATTGTGGTCGTATGTTGAGGACTACCAGCAATCAGATGTGTTCAAAATGCTTCTTGAGCCACAAAAAAAAAAAAAAAAAAAAAAAAAAAAAGCTTGGGAACCACAGATTGATCTGGGAACTCCCGTTTTCCATAGAGGAAGCCCACAATTTTAATCCACGTTCTTAGCAGGCCAGAAGAAAGAAAAGCCTACCAACTGTTGATCTCTTCTTCCTTCTTCTTGAAGTTCTCCAGCTTCTTGATGCCTTTCACTTTCTGCTGCTGCAAGGAGTCCTCACTTTCCCACGTGCTGTGGATGTACGACCAACCTTTCCATTTAACCAAGTACTGCACTTCCCCTTCCTCCTTTTCGGGGTCAAAATCGGCACAGGGATCACCATTGGCTTCTGTTGCGTAGACAGTGGTGGAGGCCCCGATGGCTGCCGAAGGAACAGAGGGGAAAGTAGGTCAAACTTTGCAAAATGGTCTTGGGGCCTTTGTTCCTACGGAGGGCTCCAATCGGTTTAGCTGTACTCATTTCTAAGCAATTCCATTTCATTTCCCCTACGAAAAAGTGGGCCAGCACTTCTCACTTCTTGAAAATGTTCTACTTTTGACTATGAGTGTCGTGATGGTGCAGTGGTTAGAATGTGGTACTGCAGGCTGTTTCTGCTGACTGCCAGCTGCCAGCAGTTCGATTCTCACCGGCTGAAGGTTGACTCAGCCTTCAATCCTTCCATAGTCGGTAAAATGAGGACCCAGATTGTGGGGGGCAATATGCTGACTCTGTAAACAGTTTAGAAAGGGCTGTAAAGCACTATGAAGTGATGTAAGTCTTAAGTCCTTCCTTCCTTCCTTCCTTCCTTCCTTCCTTCCTTCCTTCCTTCCTTCCTTCCTTCCCTTCCCTTCCCTTCCCTTCCCTTCCCTTCCCTATCCATCCCAGTTCAAGGTTGACTCAGCCTTCCATCCTTCCGAGGTAGGTAAAATGAGGACCCAGATTGTGGGAGCAATAAGATGACTTTGTATAAAATAGAACACCGCTCAGGGGGCCCCCAAAAAGCCCTACTAAGCAGGTATATACAAAAGTATGAAGGCTATTGCTTAATGCATGGTAAGCCGCCCTGAGTCTCCGGAGAAGAGCGGCATATATAAATCAAACTAATAAATAAATAAATAATAAATATTACCCCAACTAAGAAATATTAGGAGCACTGATGATATTACCTAGTTTGAGTAAAGGAATATCTGCAAGAAAACAACCAAGCTCAGAGAGCACCAAGGACCCGTCTGTAAGCTGTGTTTGTAAAGTCAGGCATTCTAGAAGCAAAGGTGCTATCTCTGGACGGATCCAACTTAGAGAAGGCTTAGAGCTTTTAACTGGGTGCCTACGTCTACTAGGAAGAAACACTGCTAGGAATATCTAAATCCAAGGAATATTTTCTTGCACTCACCTCCTTTCTTGCCTATTCTCTTCTCCAGTACTTTCTCAATGGTTTCACTGTTACTCTGCTGCTCTTCTGCCCCTTCGCCTGTCATCTCAATCAAGTCATCTGAATCGGTCTCAAAGTCATCGTCTTCCTTGTAACTGTGCACAAGACCACGCACAAGGACAGTTCAGGTTTTTCCTTCTGCCGGATGGGTTCGCCATGTAAATAAGAACGGGTTTCCCCCCCCCAACCTTGGCCACTTCCAGGTGGATGGACTTTAACACTTGTCACCGATAGCTATTCTAACACTGGAGTTCTGGGATTTGAAGTCCACCCATCTGGAAATGGACAGGACTGGGAAACGAGATTGCTTTTACAAGCTAGAAAGAGAGCTTAACATCTCCAAGCCAGCCTGTGCTCAAAAGGAAAAATTCTTGATGGTTAGATGGCACAACAGTGGAATAGTCTAAGGAGGTTGTGAGTTCATCTGAAAGTGAACAACAACTTCTCATGGATGCTTTAATTGGCTTTCCTGCCCCTTGTAGAGGATTGGATTAGATCAGTATTTCTCAACCATGGCAACTTAAAGATGAATGGACTTCAATTCTATTGCTATTGCTTAACGCATTGTAAGCTGCCCTGAGTCGGGCGGCATATAAATCGAACCAATAAATAAATCGAACCAATAAAATTCTCAGAATTCTCCAACCAGTTCCAGGACATTGCATAATCTGGGTTCACATATTAAGGAAAGCTATGGTTTGCTCAATGATGGCTTGGTAATAATATTAATTTAAGGCATAACCAGGTTAGTTCATACAACGTATGGTGGCTGGGTTTCAGACAAACAAATCACCCCATGTTGGCTGAGCACGTGTGAACCCAACTCTAGGTTTTTCTGCCATTACCTGACATTTTTGGCTGCTCGGCGCTTAGTTTGTCTTTTGGGGGTCTCATCCTCCTCATCATCATCCTCCTCTGATGATTCGGTTTTTCTCCGCCTCTTCGACCGCTGGGGTTTGCTGCTCCTTTTTGGGATGGATTTGATCGCTGCTCTGAATTGAAACAGACCGATACAGCAGTAGTAATAGTGAAAGTATTGATAGCAATAGACTTATAGACCGTTCGCAGTGCTTTACAGCCCTCTCTAAGCAGTTTACAGAGGAAGAAGGAGAAGAAAAAGCAGGAGAAACAGAAGCAGAAGCATCAGTACCAGAAAAAGACGCAGAAGAAGCAAAAGCAGAAGCAGTAAATGAAGAGATAATTAAGAAGATATTGGACTGTGCAGAAATGGACAGACTTACATTGAAGATTAAACAGAAAGAACATACAGAATACTATCAAACATGGAATTTATTTTATCAATGGCTGAAAAAAAGGGGTAAAGATTAGGAACATAATTTGTATTGTTAAGCAAACAAAACAACCTACATAACACAATGTTTATTAAGTACTAATTAAATGTAATAGTAGAAAATTAATAAAACTTTATTTAAAAAATGCAGGAGGAAAAGCAGAAGGAGCAATAGCAATAGCACTTAAGACTTATATACCACTTCACAGTGCTTTACAACCCTCTCTAAGCAGTTTACAGAATCAGCATATTGCCCCCAAAAATCTGGGTTTAACCGACTTCGGAAGGATGGAAGGCTTGAGCCAGTCAGGATCGAACTGCTGGCAGTCGGCAGAATTAGCCTACAATACTGCATTCTAACCACTGCGCCACCACAGCTCAGTGGTTGTAATAACAGTTGGGCATCCTTTAACACCAGACCAGAAAATCAACACTATAGGAAGGTTAATTATTATTATTAGGTTTCCTCTGTTCAGTCATGTCCGACTCTAGAGGGCTGTGCTCATCTCCATTTCTTAGCCGAGGGAGCCAAGCATTGTCCAAAGACATTTCCGTCGTCATGTGGCCAGCATGGCTATACACCAAAGGCCCACAGAATGCTGTTACCTTCCCACCGAAGTGGTACTTATTAATCTACTCGCATTTGCTTGCTTTCGAACTGCTAGGTTAGCAGCAGCTGGGCAAGCAAAGGGAGCTCGCCCTAATTGCGCAGGGGTGGGGTCTCAAACCTGGCCTGTCAGCTTTCCAGTTGATAATCACAGCATCTTTAACTGCTGAGCCAGTTATTGAGACTGGCTCAGTTAGGAGAATCTCGCAAGTCTGAGGGTGCTGGATCGTCTCCTCCTTTTTATACTCCAGTGAATTGAGGAGGTGTCTACCTCAGCTACTTCCAAATGCTATCTCACTGTTTTGTAACTTTAAAAAAAATATGTTTCCACCTTTTTTGCCTGGGCAATGGTTCTTGTATATTTCAATCACGGTCATCTTCCTTAACTCTTTTGTTCTATCCTAGAAATTTTTGCCATTCTTCTGTCTTCCCGCTTGGCAAAGCTTCCATCATTGCACTCAGAATACTAACTCACAACGAAAGGGTGGAAGAACAAAGGAGAATGAAAGGAAGGCAGTATCAATTTTCTCACCTTCTTGAACTAAGTCTTCTGGACCTCACTTTCTTCACTTCTTGTTCACTTTCTCCACTGGAGCCTTGATCTTCCATGTCATCTTCATCATCATCCCCAGATCCCTCCCTCTTCCATTTACCTCTGTGTCTACAAAAGTTGATAAGGAGTATAAGCGTTAATGACCGTCATTGTGATCCATTATCGTGGTGGCTTTTACATGCCAACTAATTTAACACCCCCTCCCCCCAAATACGTAAGAAGGCCTAGATAGACAGACTATTCATCTAACGTTCAAGACAATTAAGTTATTAACTAGGGCTGTGCAGAAATACATCCATAAAGAATGGGCAGCCTCTTTAAAGTAGCGGCATCTTTCCTCGAGATGACGCGGCTGCCCTTTGCGGCAACCTGCGATTTCAGGAAAGGACAAGGCTGCTTTAAAGAGCTAAAAACAGATGTGTTTTTAGCTCTTTAATTAGAATTTAAACATCTAAACAGATGTGTTTAGCTTTGTTATTAACAATGACATATGTTCAATTAACAGCTCAATTAAAAGCACACCGTTCGACTAAATACTCACAATCCGAGGTACTCAAAAGCCCCCCCCCCATTTAATACTCCTTGTAATGGAATGTTCTTTTTAAGTACTAAGACACATGAGGTCTCATAACTAGGATAGCATTTTAGTTTCCAGCGAAGATTGAGGCTATTAGGGGAGGAGAGTCCATAAGCCACATACAATCAACCAAGGAACTTCTCAACCTCGGCACCTTGAGGATGTGTGGACTTCACAGGCTGGCTGAGGGTATTCTGGAAGCCGCCATCCACGTGCCTTCAAGCTACCAAGGTTGAGAAACATTGGTCTATAAAGCAGCCCACTGATGGGGAAGTAGCCTTTAGCAGATGGAAGATATTTTGCTTTCTTCCTAGGGAAGGAAATGCAGGTGGCTAGGCTGATATCCACTCTTCCCTTTCCATGGAACAGTTCCAGAAAAGGAAGGATCATGTCCCTTTCTTCTACCAATCTAGCAAGGATCTAGTGTGCCAGAAGAGAAGAGGACAAACATCAGTATATATGTGTTCATGCAAGTGTGGTGTGTTTTATGCAGGTTTTGCTGGGTGTACATGGAATAGGATAAATTGTACAAATCTTGTACAAGATTTCTTCAAGTCAAACTCAGCTGAAGACTTCACAGAGGCCTCTAAGTAGTTTTCTAGGCAGTATTTCAGAAATAGCTCCCTTTGCCTTAGTTTTAATATCCAAACCAAATGTATGGGGCTTTGTATGACTGTATAGCTATAACCTTGTTGCTGGTTTCCTTTCAATTTATATTGATTGTTTCCTAGTATGATTTGATTGCTTATTTGTACTCTATGACTATCACTAAGTGTTGTACCTTATGATTCTTGACGAACGAATCTTCTCTTTTTATGTACACTGAGAGCGTATGCACCAAAGACAAATTACTTGGGTGTCCAATCACACTTGGCCAATAAAGAATTCTATCTATCTATCTATCTATCTATCTATCTATCTATCTATCTATCTATCCATCCATCCATCCATCCATCCATCCCTTCCAAGGATACAAGGCCAGTCAAGTCCAGCTAAGTGTTGCCACCTCCTGGAAGAGGAAGGGCAGACTATACAGCTAGTCCTTGATTTGCAACAGTTCATTTAAGGACCATTCAAAGTTACAATGGCACTGAACAAAAAATGATGACGATTTTTCACACAACTGGGTATGGCATCCCCATGGTCATGGGGTCAAAATTCAGATGCTCAGCAACTTATGACAATTACATTATTCCTGGGGTGTGTGTGTGTGTGTGTGTGTCATGTGATCCCATTTTGTGACCTTCTGACGAGCAAAGTCAATGGGGAAGCCAGATTCACTTAGCAACCGTGTGACTAACTGAATGGCTGCAGTGACTCACTTAACAAATGTGGCAAGAAAGGTCGTAAAATGGGGCAAAATTCATTTAACAACTGTCACACTTAGTAACAGAAATTTTGGGTCAATTGTGGTTGTTCATTACATTACATTACATTATTTACACTATCTATATATATATCACACACTCATAGGTTCTATTTAAAAAAATGAACAGCTGAATGAATTTGAAGATGAGATACTGCATTCATGACTGGAGGAAAGATTTTAAAAAATTGTATGTTCCTCAAATTTGACTGCTGGAAACATTACAGAAATTGTTCGTTGCTGCCTACAATCCTGAGATTTCTTGCTGATTTTTCCTCAACCAATTACCAACCAGACCTGACCCATCGTGGCTTCCTAGATTAAACCTCATTGTCCAGGAGTTATCATTTGTTGGGTATGTGGGTACAAATCTGATTACAAGCCTGATGCAGTTTCCAGAAACTGATTTCACATTGCAGGATTCAATCTGGATTGGTCACTGGGACCAGAGGTTTGGTCTCCTGAGCTCTTGGACTTCCGCTGGAGCCCATCCTCTCTTTCTCTCTCTCTCCAGAAATGTGTGCACACTCTGAGGATGAGCTCCAGCCCGAATCCAAAAGACTAAATCTCTGATCTTGGTGACCATGCCAAATTAGATCCTGCAACATTAGCCTAGGACCCGCATATTTGCCTTCATTCATTGATATGTGGAGGAGGATTTGGTCTTTAAGCCAGGTATAGGCAACCAGCATGCGACCTTCATTCTTCCAATCTGCAGTTCCCAGAGCTAGACTCAGGGGTGAAATCCAGCAGGTTCTGGAGAACCAGTAGCGGAAATTTTGAGCAGTTCGGAGAACCGGCAAATGCTACCTCTGGCTGGCCCCAGAGTGGGGTGGGAATGGAGATTTTGCAATATCCTTCCCCTGGAGTGGGAATAGGGATTTTGCAGCATCTTTCCCCTGCCATGCCCACCAAGGCATACCATGCCCACCAAGCCATGCCCACAGAATCGGTAGTAACTAGGTTGCTCAGTGGCTAAGACACTTAGCTTGTCGATCAGAAAGGTTGGCAGTTTAACAGTTCAAATCCCTAGTACAGGTCTCCTAGTACAGATCATGCAGGTCTCCTCCTGCGTGATCAGGGGGTTGGACTAGATGACCTCCAAAGGTCCCTTCCAACTCTGTTACTGTTACTGGATTTCACCACTGGCTAGACTGGTCTAATGATTAAGGGGTAGGACTGGAAGTAAGGAACCATGAGTTCTAGCCTTGGCTTAGTCACAAAGCCAGATGGATGACTTTGGGCCAGTCCCTTTCTCTGAGCCTTAGGAAGGAGACTAAGGGCAAGCGACTTCCAAAAACTTTGCCTAGAAAATTCCATGTTCCATGTAGCCACCAAGAGTGAAGTCTGAGGAGAAGACAAAGAAGGGAAAGCGACCCCAGATGTTTGATGATGATGATGATGTATGGAAGGTATGACTGTGTCACATGTGTGATGAGGATCAGAGTTAAACTTTGAGCTGACAAGCCAGCATTTATTTTTCCTCTGATATTTCCTTGTGTCTTCTGACGCAAACCTCTTGTACATAACCACATCACCATGGTTTTAAGTAATTTTCCAATGGTGGAAATGCACCTCAATGGTCTGGAAGAGTGGTGGAATTCAATTTTTTTTACTACCGGTTCTGTGGGCGTGGTCTGGCTTGGTGGGCCTGCAAAATCTCCATTCCCACCCAACTCCAGGGGAAGGATACTTTTTTTTTTTTTTTGCTTTAATTTATATGCCGCCCTTCTCCGGAGACTCAGGGAGGCTTACAATGCGTTAAGCAATAGCCTTCATACTTTTGTATATTTATACAAAGTCATTTTATTGCCCCCATAATCCGGGTCCTCATTTCACCTACCTTTGAAAGGATGGAAGGCTGAGTCAACCTTGAGCCTGGTGAGATTTGAACTTGCAGTAATTGCAAGCAGCAGATGTTAATCTGTTAATAACAGTGCTTTAGTCCACTGTGCTGCAAAATCCTCATTCCCTCCCCACTCCTGAGGGAAGGATATTGCAACATCTCCATTCCCTCCCCACTTCTGGGAGAAGGATATTGCAAAATCCCCATTCCCAGCCCACTCCAGGGGAAGGATACTACAAAATCCCCATTCCCTCCCCACTCCTGGGGGAAGGATACTGCAAAATCCCCATTCCCACCCCACTCTGGGGCCAGCCGGAGGTGGTGTTTGCCAGTTCTCCAAACTACTCAAAATTTCCACTACCGGTTCTCCAGAACCTGTCAGAACCTGCTGAATACCATCCCTGGTCTGGAAGTAGCCCTAAAGCATCAGCACCTACATATGGGCCATAACGTGGCTGGGAGAAGAAGGAAGCCCCAGTTGTAGAATCCTTGTTTATTCACACAAAGGTTCTTGAGCAGTGTTTCTCAACCTTGGTAGCTTGAAGATGGGGGGACTTCAACTCCCAGAATCCCCCAGCCAGCAGCGCTGGCTAGGGGATTCTGGGAGTTGGAAGTCCCCCCATCTTCAAGCTACCAAGGTTGAGAAACACTGTTCTTGAGGGTTCCTTTGGAGGGGTTTCTATGTTTTTCTTCTTTGGAGGAAGGTAGGAACTATAAATGGGACAGGAACCCTTTGGCTTGAACTACTATTCAGAAGGGAGGACTTTCCATGATTAAGATTTCCCTCCTTTGGACAGAAACAAGGAGGTCCTTCCATCTTCAAATGTCTATGGAGATTCTCAATCATCCAGGTCACAAAGTTGTCCCAAAAATGCTTTTTTTTTCAAGAGGCAAACTGGACTTTCTGGTTTTTCTTTGAAGATGTTTCGCTTCTCATCCAAGGAGCTTCTTCAAGCTGAAGAAGCTTCTCTCTTTTTTTAAAAAAAATCAAGTTTTATTGATTTTTTCTCTCCCCCCACCCCATTCACCCGCATATTTTATGAACATATTGGCCATATCATATCTTATACAACTTATCGTATCCAAATACATTTTACTTAGTTACAATTTCTGCCCAAATCATCTTTTTCCATATTTTTAATCATATCTTAATATTTCTATGTTTATTTATATAAACAACATTTTCATCCACCTTCAAATTCTAATTTCTCTATTTTTACTCACATTTATTCTTTTTTTACTTTTTAATAATTCATTCTTTATCCTAATACATTTACACATGTTTGGGGTTGCCTTTCTTCCATTTCATCTTTTTTTTATTGTACAGCAATCTTTCTTCTCATTCTCTTCCGTCTCCCTCCCTTCTTTTATCCTTCCTACTTTCTTCTTTCCTCCTCTCCCACTCTTTCCCTACTTCCCCTTCCTTTCTCCACTTTTTCTCAAGAGCTGAAGAAGCTTCTTGGATGAGAAAAGAAACGTCTTCGAAGAAAAACCAGGAAGTCCAGTTGCCTCTTGGAGTGGGGGGGGGGGGGGAACACCTATCCTCCTTTATTTCTTTAGCTGTTCAATTTAGACTGATTTTTTTTTGTTTTTGCATCTGACTCCTTCAAGGTGGCTTCCAGATCAACAGTGAACAAAAATTGGACCTTTTTTAAAAAACAAAAACAGAACAGCAATATTTCCCAATCAGGGCCCTTTATTTGAAATTCGGCAATCCCCTCACAGTCAGTAGGAACACTAGTCAGGTTCGCAGATTATGAGATGTAGAAATTCACCAGGCTGGAGAAATCTATTCCAATACTTTGAAAATACGTCGTGCAGAATCCAAGATGGAGAAGGTTGAAATGAAGCACCTTGTAACTAACATTCCAACCATCCACTACAGATAGTCCTCGACTTACAACCATTCATTTAGGGACTGTTTGAAGTTACCACGGCACTGAAAAAAAAGGGACTCACAACTGTTTTTTTCCCCCCCACACGTGTATTGCAGTCTCCCCATGCTCAGGTGATTGAAATTCAGACACCTGGCAACTGGCTCGTATTTATGACGGGTTGCCGTGTCTCCCGGAGTTACATGATCCCTTTGTGTGACCTTTTCGCAAGCAAAGTTAACGGGGAAAGCCAGATTCACTTAACAACCGTGTCCACTAACTTAACTGCAGTGATTCGCTTAACAACTATGGCAAGGAAGTTTGTAAAATGGGGCGAAGCTCACTTAAGCAGCTGTCTCGCTGAGCAACAGAAATGTCGGGTCGTAAGTTGAGGGCTACCCGTAGAGACTCGAGAATCCTTTCAAAAAAAAAAAAAAGGAAAACTAGATTTGTTTCAGAAACGAGGCGGAGCCCTCGTAACTTACATTTTTCTCACTTGCCTTGAACCTCTTCTTTTGGGACTCTCACTTTCAGACTCGCTATGACCCTTGAACGGAAAGAGAGAAGGAGGGAGAGAGAAAGGGAAGGAGCAATAAGAGAGGCTGCTGGTTTGATGGCTGCAATATTTCGCTTGCAAATATTCTTGGCATCCATAAAGGGTGTTGGGACGCGCCTTGGCTCATTCCCCCAGATTCAAAGCCAACACAATCCATAGGGGAGGCATTCGCTACCACACAGCAAATAAATAGGCAACACCCTTTTTGGCCCACGATCTCAGCAGTTCTGTGGTGTTGTGTTTCTTTCGTTTGTCGTTTTTTTAAAAAAAAACAGGAACTCTTTTACATCGTGAACACAAGTGGGCAAAGGAAAAAGAAACCCAAATTGAAGACAAAAGGATTAAAGAATAGTCAAAAAAAGAAGGAATAAGCAGCCACACCCAAGGCTTTCCAAGCGTTGCAGAAGACAGGATGCAAGCTGCAGGAAGGGACGGTCCTGCTCACCTGTACATGGGCTCCCCCTTCAGGGGAGGATCAGTAATGTGGGGTCTTTGGTGCACTGATGATGTTACCTACTTTGGTAATGAAACGTCTGCAAGAAAACAACCGAGCTCAGAGAGCACCAAGGACCCAACAGTTCAACCCTGAGCTATAAATATTCTCTTCTGTCAGTTCAGGTAACTGCCATACATGGCTTTCAAAGGCACATCATGATGAGACATACTCCCCAAATTATGAGGGATCAGGAACAACCCCCTCAAAAAATAAAAATGGGAAAGGGCTGAATAAACACTTCTAAAATTCCATTTCAATTTAAAATCATACAATTTCAATTTCATACTTTCAAAATCTTCTTCTTGTTGTTGTTTTTGCATTGAATGGAATTAGTAAGCCACTGAGAGTCTCTCAATTGCAGTGGGTAGACAACCATTGATTAATTACCCGACACAGGTAATTAATATTAATAATAAAATTAATAATATTAATAATAAAAGGAAAAAAAGAGAAAGAGGAGGAGGAGAAGGGGAAGGGAAGCCCTTAAAATACATCTCCTAATTTTTATGCAAGATTACTCTTATGCTTACATATATTTATTAAATCTTCTTAAACAATTAAACTCTACTGCTCAAAAAAATAAAGGGAACACAAGCAGAAGACATCCGAGATCTGAATGAATGGAATAGCCTTATTAAATACTTTGTTCGTTACATACAGTAGTTTATACACTGCTCAAACACCTAAAGGGAACACAAAACTACTGTATGTAACGAACAAAGTATTTAATAAGGCTATTTCATTCATTCAGATCTCAGATCTCTTCTGCTTGTGTTCCCTTTATTTTTTTGAGCAATGTATTAACACAACATTCTGTTCACTCAATAGTAAGGAAAAAGAAACTATACACCACAGTTAAATGCCCATAAATCTGGATAACCTTTCTCAAAGTAATAAAGTGCCCTATTGACGGACAGCTCGTTCAGCGCAAAATGGGTGCTCAGAGGCCAGAATGTCAAGCGTGGGATTTGCATGACATCATGTATGTAACAGTTCTCATGGGTAACAGGGTGAAAGGGATTCCAAAGATGGTGCCGAACAAAGACCCCACCAAAAAAATCTGCTTGAGACTGACAAAAACACACTTAGAAATGGAATCATCCGTTGTTTCTTTAGTTTTCTTTCCCTGTGAGAACAGGGCAACGTGGTTTAAATTAGAGATGACAAGAGAGTTAAGAAAATGAGCGGCAATGTTAGATGCAGGAACCCAAGTATATTAGAAACAGGTAAAGAGAATAAGAAGATCTTTGCAGCCAACAGCTGGGCACATCTGTCTCTTTCCAGGATCTTTATGAAACTTGAAAGGTTAAAGCGTGTCCCTTGCAAATTTTGAAAACAATCCCCAATTTTTAATGTGCATCCAAATACACAGAACAGTAATTGGCTCTCCATATCTGAAGTGCTCATTCAAGCACCCTGCACCAAAAAAGAACCACAAATCTATTTCTTCTTCTGATCCTTCCCCAAATTACAAGTTGTATACTGACTCCCATCTATCACAAAGCCTCTGCACTGCACTGGCTCATCCTCCACCCGATCCAGATGAGAGCTTCATTACAGGAGCCAGATGCTGGCATGGAATTATAGGAGCTGAAGTTATCCCTTTTGTAGCTTTACAAAAGCTTTACCTCACTGGTGCCCCCAAGCTTTGAAGGGAACCTTCCTTCTATCCTCCTGGCCATCATCTTCTCTTGCCCTTCAGGGGCAGAAAAACATAGTTCAAGGCACTCATACATGAAGTATGTGTAGCCATAAGATGGTTTGTTATTTATCAGCTTGGGGAAATGCAAATCCATAATAAGAAATTGTGTTATGTGAAACTCAAAAGGATAGGTTTGCACATCATGCTATTCCAGAACAGAGGAATTTGCCCCCAAACCTTCCTTCATTCTACCACGTAGATCATTTTCTGCACACTTTCCTCCATCAAGGAAAACATCCAAAGAATGAATCCAATTTTCTTGGACTGGTTGTGTTCTTTCTTTCTTTCTTTCTTTCTTTCTTTCTTTCTTTCTTTCTTTCTTTCTTTCTTTCTTTCTTTCTTTTTCTTTCTTTTTCTTTCTTTCTCTCTCTCTCTCCCTCTTTTTTTTTTACTGTAAATTCAGCTTCCTGTTCTGTCCCTTACCGGAGAAAATCCCATCAAAATAAACTTGCATATGTCTTCTCCAACTGAGAAGCTGTAACCTTGTTCTTGAATTGAGAATTATATATGTCCCTTGATGCAGTTGGCAATAAACAAGAACCTTGAAGCTCCTCAAACACAGGAGTAGAAGGTAAAGCTCTTGTGGTGATTGATCTTCCTTCAAATCTCACTCTTTGATATTGTCTGGTTCCCCAGCCCAGCTCCCTACCCTGCAATAACCCCAAACACACAAAACGGATTATAGATATTGTGTGAACACAGATAGTGGAAGAAGCTGGGAGAACCATGGTAGTTTTTAGTCCACTTGATGAAATTTTCTGAAGCCCTTCAAGACAATCTTTGCATGGCTTTGCTTATCCAAACATTCACACTAGTATAAGCCAACAATCCAAAGGCAAACCTTAACCAAGAGTTCAGTCTTAAACTGCGGTTTAAGATGTTGGGTGGAACTCTTGACTTCTTTGCCCTTTTAACATCACATTGTCCACAATGAAGTAACTCCTAACCTCATCACAGCAGAACAGAGATATAATTCCAATAGTTTTTCTAATTTATGTAGTGCTTTTGTGCACAATCCTGCCAGAATGTTTTTTTTCTCAAAGCCACATCAAACAAGATAGCAGGAGCTTCTTTGCAAGGTGGAATCGTAAAGTGGAAAAAGTCCATAGAGAGGAGTAATTTTGGGAACTCATCCGGAGGGAAGTTAAGGGACCTTTGTTTTCCTAGGATGCATGTGTGAGGGTGCTGTAGTTATGTGTTTTTGAAAATACATACACCCAATGGAAAAATATTATGCAAGCAAAAGTAGTTCACCATGAAACAAGAAATTGTTAAGGATTCCTAGAAGCACCCTCATTAGATTCCTTAAATGACAAAAGCAGCATTTACAGACTACAGTTTTGCATAAGCAAGATCCCATTAATTAAAGCACAGTTAAAGTGAAGGTTGTGCACTGTTCCCTTTCCCATCAGAATAATCAATCCATTTCCATTTCAGGAGGAAAAGCAGCTTTCTATTTTTTATTTTTACATTATTGCGTGGTATTGCAATAATGAATAGTGAACCATAAACATATTTTTCTTTTGCATAAGATACAAATAAAGCCACTGTCGGTTGCACGGGCAACAGAAACATCTAGCAGGCAGAAAATCCAATGTTTGCAAAAACCACGTAATATTGTAAAACAAAAAATTGGAAAGGGCTTACCTGAGCCCCTAACGGGTGCTCTTGCCTGCAGTGGAGATCAGGGGTGGGTGCGACATCACCAGCCCAGTGCATCCTGGGCCATTATGACAGAGAAAAGAGGGCCATTGAGCTTGGCATTTGCAGAACTTGGAAAAAGGAAAACAAAACCCTGTTGTTTAATGACAAAAGAATCGATGGACCCCTTGGATCTGAGCCTTCAGAGGACTTTTGGGTGGGAGGGGGAAAGAATATGGACAGGTTAGTCTGGATGGCATGGGCAAAACCATTGTCCAAGATGGAAGATCGCACAGGATTATGTGAGAGAAGAGGAGAAACAGGGAGAGAATGGAAGGCAGAGCTGGTCTGAGTATAACACAGCTGGAAGACATGTTCCTTATGCCAAGTTGCTTTGAGAAGAAAGAAGCAGATTAAAGGCTATCCTACAAATCAATTTCAAATCTTGCCTCTGCCGGGAAATTCAGTCACTAAACTAAGACAAGTCTTTGCTTCTGTATTATCTCAGATAACTTCACAAAGAGCCTTCCCTCTATTGCTTCAGTATCCATTCAGTGGCACAAACACAGGCCTGGGATCCAGAAATGTTTATTAGAAAAAACGTAACCTGCCCTTAAGTGCACCGGCCCCCAAAGGGAAAAAAGAATAGTAATAATTATATTAATGACAATTGAGGATTTAAAAACCTCTGAAGATTTCTGTTATGCAATTTTTCTCATTGCGGTGAATCCAACCTGACCGAAGAGAGTTGAATTCGAAGACAAGACGGGGAAGGGCCAAGAGAACAATTCTTTTTGATGCAAAATGTTCAAATCTGGGTGCCTTCTGCTAGGCACCTAAATCCATATATAGGCACCCAAGCATAAATGGACCCATTTTTAGAGGACTCCTTAACGGGAGGAGAGGGTGCCGCTTATTTTTGCAGGTGCTCGAATATAAATTTAGGTGCCTACCTTTGGACTTCCAACTTTGACATTTTCAGTCTGATTCTGAACTTTCCTGAGCCTCATTTTCTCCGTCTGTAAAAAACAGAAGGGAAAACTTGCTTACTCGCTTTGGACATCGGTCGGAGTGGGAAATATGCACACAAACAGAAAAAAAGAAAGAAAGAAAGAAAGAGAAAAAATGTGGGAGAATCGGTCACTCACAAAAGCGGCAAAGAAAAGGTGGCCAGTTCCATAACCACACTGCCCATAATACGGTTTTGGATGGAAGTGAAGGAAAGAAATGGGTTTTGATGTCCCAGCCATCAGATGAAAAAAAAAAAATTAACCATCTGAACTCATCTCATGCATGGATTTTTGAAGAGAGGATTACATCTATAATATAAAAAAGGAGGCAAAAGTTTTAACACAAAGGAACAACACAATATATATAAACATGCACACTTTTATCATGCATTGCTTTTTAATCATGCCATCTTTCTGGAGTCTCAAAGCAGGGCTGTTCCTGCAACCTCTCCTTGTTTCTCGTCATGGATTGATTGTCCAAGACTCCAATGAGGATGATATCATTTCCCATTTGGACACACGCAAGGTCCGATGGGCAACTGGATTTTTTGACCTGGCTTCGGTTGCAGGAACAGCGCTTCAGGACTGCAAAATGCAACCAACGAATAACAACTTTCATTCCAAGGATGGCTTCTGCTCTTTATGGGTTTCCTCTCCCCTTACCTCATCATTTATAGTAAAACGCGAAGGCTCCTGTCTGCTACGGTTGGATCGTCTCACCCCGTAAACGTCGGGATATTCTTCCCACATCTGCAAAATAAATCAAGCTGGCGTTTGTATTCCATTAAGGGATACGAAGGGCACTCAGAAGAAAATCATCCATTATATTCTCCTGGAAGTGTCTCTATGATATAGGTTGGGCTACTTGACTGAACAAACTGGATGTCAGGTGCAAAGGATGGGGACCATTTGTAAAGTTGCAGCACAGAAGCCTATACACAAGGATCTAGACAACTCAAGTGCAACACTAAATTAGCGTCAGATAAGGACCAATGGAATTCAGGAGGGGTTGGACTTGGACTGTTCGTGGGAATGTAATGATTCTAAGCTGATGACATGCTTAACTCCATCTCCCAGCTCTGCCTGTTCTTCTCCTACTGTGTTTCCCCAAAAATAAGACCCTGTCTTATATTTTTTGAACCCCGAAATAAGCTCTTGACCTTATTTTCGGGGGTCTTATTATTTTGGGGCGCGTGGAGCAAGATGGGGCTCTTCTTGCTCTCTTACCTGATTTCCAGCTCTGTCTCACTAACCCTAACCAGATAAAATGGTGGGGATTAGCTGCGCATGCATCTTATTTGCTTATTTTCGGGTAGAGCTTACTTTTGGGGGTGTATTTTTTGGGGGGGCTTATTTCATGCGCTCAAAAGCCCAGTTGGGCTTATTATCCAGGGAGGTCTTATGGTGGTAAATTAGATCTTTCTTGGGGCATTGGGATAGAAGTCACACCCTGTTTCCCCCAAAATAAGACATCCCCTGATAATAAGCCCAATCGGGCTTTTGAGTGCATGGCAATAAGGTCAAGTGCTTATTTCAGGGTTCAAAAAAAAATGTACGACAGGGTCTTATTTTTGGGGAAACATGGTAATGTTTTAAACCAACACTCAAAACATTCTCCTCGGAAGACACACAAGTCCCAATCAAGCAACATTATCACCCCTTTCACCCCTTAAGCTTCCCAATCTCCCAAGTGATCCCCATTTTTAGCAAGGCAGTGCCGTACCTTTTTGACGTCAGCTAGCCTTTCTTTCTTGGATGCTGGTTTCTCTTTAGCTCCCGGAGGGGTCTGTCGAGACTTGGATGCTGTGGATCCACTCTCTGATTCGGACTGACTTCCTGAAGACTCGGAACTGCTATTGGATTCACTTCCATGATCACTGCCTTGCTCGCTGTCTGACTGGCTCCCCGATTCGGAACCCGAGCCCTCTTCAGACGCCGAGTGACTGTGGAGAAAAATAGCGAGATTTTTTTTACCCTCAAGGATATAACAGGTTGTCTTTTGAGCTCCCCCAAAATATGGTATGGTCTTATTATTTTCTTCGAGCAATACATCTTCACAACTAAGTGGACTTCATTATCTTGGTCAACATACTTCCATCATGAAATTTATTATTTATTTACTTTATTTATGTAGAAAATTTATATTGCCGCCTACTCACACATGGCGACTCAAAGTGACTTACCGGACATCCATAAGTTTGTGGGATCTGTTTCAAGCTTTCCCCAATTCAGAGGAAGTTAACTGTCCTGAAAATTACAGTTTATCTCTTTTTTTGGGATTGGGGAAGAGGATACTCAGGTTTGGAAAGCCCACCTACCTATAGGCTGAGCCATTTTAGGGGTTTCAAATTTGCTAGGTTTACACTATATGTTAACACACAGCGATCTCCAGAAACACACCCATATGTTCACTTCTGAATTATGATATAAGCAATTGATTTTTCTGGAGGAACCTGCTCTGGTTAAGTCTAATAACCACAGAGTTTAGGGAAGGAGAAATCAGAGTTCTTGATATTCTAGGATCTCTGTAGTCATAAGGTTTTGTAGGAAAAGGCCAGGTTCCTGAAAGGTCTATCATCCAGTCATCTTAGTGCCGTGATGGCGAACCGTGGAGCCATGTATGTGGGGACGCAAGCGTTGCCCTAGCTGAGCTCCAGCACGCATGCGTGCACCGGCCATCTGATTTTCAGGCCTTCCAGGCCCACCGGAAGTCGGGAAACATACTGTTTCCGGCCTCCAGAGGGGTGGGGAAGGCCGTTTTCACCCTCCCCAGGCTCCAAGAAAGCCTCTGTAGCCTGGGGAGGGCAAAGAACGGGCCTACCGGGTCCACATGTGCCAAAAACGGAGGGAGGACACGCGCATGTGTGGGGGAGCATTGAATTATGGGTGTGGGCACATGCCCACGCAATCCCCCCGCGCTCCCTCTGCTTTTGGCATGCAACGGCAAAAAGGTTAGCCATCACTGTCTTAGTGTATAAGTCCATACAATGTACTAGAGATCCAGCAATATTGTCTTAAGTCTGTTGTGTGAACCAAATCACATTACTATTACAAGATTTATTTCTTTGGACACTACAAGTCATGTGAATACAGCAACTAAATTTAGTTAAGCTGGGTTTCATGTGTTGTGAAACCTGCAACTTCTGCGATGAAAAGCCCATAAGATTGCAGGGTTGGTATACGGAAAAGGACCATCCAAGCAATCAATCATAGCAATTGCCCTTGCCACTCCACCTCAGATGCTGTGCATCACTTCAGTAACTTCATTGTCAATGTCAACCGCTTATGAGGAAAATCTGTATAAAATGTTTTACAGATGCACTTTACACCGGCAAGGTTGGCTAAAATGTATAAAGACAGATCAGCAAAATGTTGGAAATGTAACCAAATACTGGGCTCATAATACCACGTGTGGTGGACATGTCCCAAAATCAAAAAATATTGGTCGAAAATACATACCTGGCTGGAAAAAATGACAAAGAAGCATATTGAACTGAGACCAGAGACATTTTTGTTGGGCATTTTACCGGAAAAATATGATAAAAAGACTACATATTTGATTTTACATATACTGACTGCGGTTAGGATTGTATTTACGCAACAGTGGAAGAATGAGGAGATCCCATCAAATGAGAAGGTAACTCAGAAAATAATGGAATACGCAGAAATGGACAGATTAACGCTTATCATTAAGGACAGAGAAGATACTGAATATTTTCTGATCTGGGAGGTATTTTATCAATGGCTAGAGCAATGGTGGCGAACCTTTTACTTACTGAGTGCTGAACAGAACGCGCTGTGTGCATTGCACATACTCACATGCCATCCATGGTAGTATGCAACTCCTCCCCATGTGCTGTGCGTGCAACTGCCCCATCTGCGCATGCGCACAGCTTTTGCATGCACCCCCACTATGCGCTGCGTGCACAACCGCACCATCTGCATATGCGTGCAGCTTTTGCGCATGTGCACTAGCACAATCTCATCATATGCGCATGCGCACAGCTTTCACGCACGCAATGCACGCACGCAAACGTTGTCTGTGCATTTGCGTGCTGCGCACCAGTCATCTCATGCGCAAACACACGCGCATTGCACACACGCACACCAGAGGCCTAAACACCAGCTGGGCGCACACGCATGCACAGTTTCAGTTGAGTTTGGCGATGGCTTGCGTGCCCCGAAAAATGGCTCTGCATGCCACTTCCGGCACATGTGCCATAGGTGTGCTAACACGGGGCTAGAGAATAGAAACAGAAGTTAGGAAGGAGGAGATATAAGAAAAGAAATTTGTACCATGGAGAGACGTTTATGACAAAGTTATGTACTATTGTAAAATATATTGATACAGTAGTTATATTATTAATGTCATTGTAACAAATACAACAAATATATGAACTATAAATTTTTAAAAAATTGTACCTAGTTCACACACTGTTCAATGGAGATGAAAAGTATTATAAATAAAATAAATAAAACATGGGGGGAAAAAGTAGCTTCATTATCAATTCTAAGGCTGGTTGCTGGACCCTTTCACATTAGTCTGGTTTTATTCAATTTTAGTCCATTTTTCCCCCACGGGGCTCCTTGCCATTCCTTACTAGAGCTCAGGGATCATTTGCATTTTCAGCTTAACAAGGTGTTGCTATCAACCACACAGCAGAGAGACCGATGCTTCTTCCTCCAATTTTAAAACCACATTCAAAACGTGTTATAAAACAGCCTGGTCTAAATGTTACTCGATACAAAACAATAGCAATAAAAGCTAAAAGGCTAAGCAGGCTGGAAATAAATCAGCCATAATACCAATGTTTAGGCAGGGCCAAATTTATAGGCGTGGATTAGGCCAGGCCGTTTTTTTACAGCTATTAAAAGCCGTTTTTCTCTTGCCTCAAGTGGAGTTCATCAAGGAAAGAATCTCATAAAATCCCTTTAAAAAGAAAAAAAAAATATCTTGGATGAGTCAATTAAGTCAGCGGTAGAAACTGGGCTGAAGAATTTTTTTTTTTTTAAAAGAAACTCTTCCAGGTTTTATCTTGTGGTAAAAAGGCAATAATTCCAGAAGCAGATCCCTGAACCTAGCACACGACACAATCGTCCGGCATGTACTGCAGCGCGCTAAGAGCTTTTATTTTACTTTAAAATGTGTGAAAAGCAAACCATGGAAAAAAAGCAACGGAGTGAAATTAAAATGCATTTCTTTAGGAAACTGGCAGAGGGCAGCAAGAAAGCAGGAAAGAGCAAGCTTTGGGCAAGCAGTCGGGGAAGCCATTTTGAAAACATGATCCGTGAATAAGCCACCATTTTACGGCTCTCCCTGCATTGCTGTCTCTTGAGCAATTCCAAATAGAAGGATAAAGTCATTGCTAAAAGCCCCGTGAGGTAGAAGGGGTTTGGAAAATGCTGGGGCTTAAAAATAAAAGGGTTGCCCAAACACAGCAAAGTGTTTAACTTTTCTTTTCCTTGTTCTGGGGAAAAAGGAAAAGGATCTATTTAGGATTCAGACACCTGAATGAACAACAACAACAAAAACAGAGCAAAGCAAAGCAAAACAAAACAACAAAAAACCAGCCAGCCTTTAAACTTTCTTGAGAGAGGAGGAAGAGTATTAAATTATAAACTAAATTGAACCGACTAAAGTCCTGCCTCTAGATATTTTACGTGCTGTCCGAATAGAGCTGGAAGGGACCTTGGAGGTCTTCTAGTCCAACCCCCTGCTCAAGCAGGAGACTCTATAGCCGTGATGGTGAACCTATGGCACGCACACCCTCTCTGTGGGCACACAAGCCGTCGCTCAGTTCAGCTCCACTGCACATGCGTGCGTGCCTCCCGCCGGCCAGCTGGTCTTAGGGTCTATGCTGTACATGCGCTGGGGGCAGGGTGTGTGCAGGGGGCCATTGACACATGCACGGGGCAGGGTGCATGTGGGGGACCACACACACATTGCATTTTGGGGGTTCGGGCGCACGTACACGGGTTCATGCCCACGTGCGCACGCTTTGGGCACTTGATCCAGAAAAGGTTAGCCATCACTGCCGTATAGCATGTCAGACAAGTGGTTGTCTAGAGTAGACCAGCGGTCACCAACTGGTGATCCATGGTGGTCCTTGGTGGTCCTTTTCTCAAGGACTGGTGGTCCTTGAGAAAATTTTCTAATGAAGGCAGATTTGAGTCCTTAGAGCAGTGATGGCGAAGTGATGGTTGCACGGAAACGTCGCATGCGCGCCCGCTCATTGTGGCTGCGCTCTGGAAAAACAGAACTTCCGGGTTCTAGCGCGCATGCGCGCCCGATGATCAGTTGGTCGGTGCACATGTACAGGCCGGTTTTCGGCACCGCCACACATGCGAAGGGATCGTGCTCCAGAAAAGCCAAACTTCCGGGTTCTGGCACACATGTACACCCGACAATCAGTTGGCCGGCGCGCATGTGCACACCGGTTTTCAGCACTGCCATAAACGCGAAGGACAGCTGATTGTCACGTGCACATGCGCGCCAGAAACACAGAAGACAAAGGCTGCGTGTGCCAGGCGATATGGCCCCACGTGCCACTTTGGGCACACGTGGCATAGGTTCGCCATTGCGGCCTTAGAAGATTCTATCCCTCGGCGCCATCAAGCTTCAAGGAAGGCTGGCTGCTCATGCTTTCTCTCAGATCATATGTTATGGCAGGCAGTAGTGAAATCCAAATTTTTTTTTTAATACCGGTTCTGTGGGCGTGGCATGGCTTGGTGGGCGTGGCAGGGGAAGGAGACTGCAAAATCTCCACTCCCTCCCCACTCTTTGGGGAAGGATATTGCAAAATCTCCATTCGTACCCCACTCTGGGGCCAGCCAGAGGTGGTATTTGCCAGTTCTCCGAATTTCCGCTACGGGTTCTCCAAACTGCTCCAAACTGCTGCTACCGGTTCTCCAGAAACTGTCAGAACCTGCTGGATTTCACCCC